GAGGGATCCATAAAAAGGGTTTAGGGTTTAGGGTTTAGGGTTTAGGGTTTAGGGTTTAGGGTTTAGGGTTTAGGGTTTAGGGTTTAGGGTGCCCTTATATTGGTTTTCAGAGCCCATAGACCAGACCCAAGAATAACAATTCCTAGGAATTAAAAACGGTGTCCCTTTTTGGTTTCAAAGGGCTTCCAAGGGAACCTAAACCCTGACAAAAGGAGAATATGGGGCCTACTCTGGGTCCTAGTAGATGGTTCGGGGAATCGAATTAGGAACAGGATGCTTAGGGATGGACACGCCTCGGGGCCTATTTACAATGGATATTGCGAGTAGTTTCGGACGAAGTATATAGACTCTATGCAGGGTTCATGGGATTTATGGGAGGAATAACAACCGGTGATTCTCAATTTCTGGAGCCAGTAGTAGACCTTCTGCGCTGTAACCTTCTGATCCCAAGACAGCAAAATTAGTTAAAATTATGTTTTTTGAAAGACCACTAAGGGTCACTTGAAATCAAGGGTGGAACCCTTGCGTCCTTGCTTTTGGGGACCCCTTTTCCAAGATTCCTGAGGTAGGATAAGAGCCATCTTAGGCGCATTTTAAGGGAGACCTTAGGAGTACGAGTCTTCATCCCTTGACCAAACCCTAAACCCTAAACCCATACATCCCCCTGAACGCCCCAAGCCTCGACGAAGAGGCCCAACTTCATGAACTGGTTGGTCGAGTCGGGGCCAAAGTACCTGAGCCCCGGCTTAGGGTTTAGGGTTTAGGGTTTAGGGTTTAGGGTTCAGGGCATACCATTAGGGTTTAGGGTTTAGGGTTTGGGGCTTAGGGCTTAGGGCTTAGGGCTAAGGGCTTAGGGTTCAGGGTTCAGGGTTCAGGGTTACCGTAGGGGGCCTATACTTAGAATCTGCATCCTCCCTTGATTTCGTGCTTACCCCAATCCAGAAGACGCAGTGCCCTCAGCTTTTCTCTAATTAGCCCGCGGCCGAACCCTGAACCCGAAACCCTAAACCCTAAGCCCGAAAACCCTAAACCAAGGCACATCAGAATATCCGAGGCAATCTGCAGGCAGTGAGGCCACTTGTCCTGCTGTCGGCTTAGGGGCCCCCTAGACCACGAAAGCGTCTTTCTCCCGGGTCTATGGTTTAGGGTTTGAGGTTTGAGGTTTGGGGTTTAGAGTAGAATCAGGATGCAAGGCGAAATGCCAAGATTCAGTAGGATTAACCGCCCCCCCCCCCCTCCCCCCCTCCTAAACCCTACAGTAGGATGGATAAGCTTAGGGTTTAGGGTTTAAGGGGTTTAGGGTTGGGTGTGTATCGTGTCTGTTGCAACTTCTCCCAGCTCCTGAGCGAAGCCGCCATTACCATCCTCGGGAGCACCCGAGGCCCGAAAACCGGGGCACATGTTTGCCAACTCACGGTAGGGTTTCGGGTTTAGGGTTTAGGGTTTGGGGTTTTGGGTTTGGAGTTTAGGGTTTAGGGTTTAGGGTTTGAGGTTTGGGGTTTTGGTTTTGGGTTTGGGGTTCAGGGTTTAGGGTTTAGGGTTAAGCCCCAAGCAACCCTGCACCCCACCCCCCACCCCCCCCAATCTTACACAACAAACAAGCCTGATGTTCGCGAAACCTTAGGGGTTCGGGAGTTTGCAAATTTGCTTGGTAGCTCTTTGCAAGGGACAAGGGAACTAGGTGCCTTAACTACTCCTTCAAGGGAGGTTCCATTGGGAAATATAGTGCGCCTAATTCCCGCTTATCCCAAAATCCCACCCCAAACCCTAAGACCCCAAACCCAAAATCCCCATTGACAACACGCAGCGACTTGAGGTTTCAAAGGCCTTTGGGGGTTTAGGGCCTTAGAGGCTTGAGGACAATTGCGGCTTAGCCCTAAACCTCCTAAACCCTAAACCCTAAACCCTAAACCCTAAACCCTAAACCCTAATCCCTAAACCCTATGACCCTAATTGGGCTTGAGCGTGTGGGGGATGCCAGATCCCAGGTCCCCCAAGGACCTTCGGATTGCAGTCTCCCAAGCAGGAGTCGGTTGAGGAAGTGTTGAGGGACATGAGGTTTAGGGTTTAGGGTTTAGGGTTTAGGGTTTAGGGTTGGCCCTCTTTTTCCGGAGGTCCCTAGACCCCCTAGCCCTAAACCCTGAACCTTCAGCCCTAAACCCTAAACCTTCAGCCCTACACCCTAAACCGAGCTCTTTACGGCCTTTTGTGCCTCCCACAACGCCTAAATTAAAACCAAAAACGCCAAAACCCCAAAACACCTGAAACACTAAAACCTTAAAGACCCCGGAAAACCCGGACACCCAAAAGCCTATAACCCTAAAAATTAAACCAAACCCTGAACCCTAAACCCAAAACCCTACACTAGTTCATGGTTGGGATAATACCAATTTTTTTAATGTTATGCCTTATTGGGTTTAAGTACCCTTAGAGATGTAAAATGTTACCCTACTATGACAAAGTACACCGACCACCCAGGAGAGCTTGGCAGCCCAAGAGCCACATGACAACAAGGGTGCCCTTGTTGGGTTGGTTATTTTAGAAGGGAAACCGGAACCAAAAAAAAAAATGTAAAGGGTTACCACTGGGCTGCCAAGCCCTAAACCCTAAACCCTAAACCCTAAACCCAAAACCCTAAACCACACGGCCCAGTCGCCCAACAGGTCGCGGCTGCTGCGGCCCCAGTGAAGGCGGCGAACAACGCTGGGTAAGCTCGGAGCATGCCAACCCTGGTGAGTCGGTTCAGGGGTTTAGGGTTTAGGGTTTAGGGTTTAGGGTTTAGGGTTTAGGGCTTGGAGTTTCGGACTTGGGGTTTGTTGGGTTTGGGGGTTTAAGGGCTCCAGGGTTTGGGTTTCGAGCTTGCGGTTCGTTGGGGCTAGAGTTGGGGGCTTGGGGATAACCTCAAGACTCCGTTCAGACACGCATACCCACTTCGACAGGTTAAAGGTAAAGAAAGGCCCGGGTTCAGGGTTGCTAGGGTTGTGAGGGGTTGTGAGGGGTTTAGAGGTTTAGGGTTTAGGGTTTAGGGTTTCGGGTTTCGGGTTTAGGGCTGAACTGTCACTCGCTTTGGGGGGTCAGGAAGACCTCATAGAACGTATTCGGATCCTGAAGTCACAGTTGCAAGGGGTTTTGGAGCTCCCCCTGTTAGGCTTTAGGGTTTAGGGGTAGAGCCAAGAGTACCCGATGAATAAACAGGGTGCCCATTTCGGTTAAAAGGGGCTCCTAAGCGAACCTAAAACCTAAAGATGGCTCTGGGTGTTTGTGGCTTTTGGGGTTAGGGCCCTGAAAACCCGAAATCCCTGCCTCAAACCGATCTCGCACCTCCAGTGCGTTTCTCAAACGGCTGCGGTGGCAGGAACGGTATTGGGCTTCGACGCTCCAGCTTGACGTGTAGGGTTCGGTCATCACAGGAAACCCAGGTGAATTATCAGTAAGCCGGGTCTCCTAACCCCAAACCCGAAACCCTAAACCCTAAGCACTTGCAACCCCAAGGCAAAATTCTCTAACCGGCTATTCTAAATGAATCCTAAGCGCAGGTACAACCAATGGGAATCCTAAACACTAAACCCTAAACCCTAAACCCTAAACCCTAAACGGCCCTAAACCCTAAACTCATGAAAGTAGGCTTCCATATACACAGGACTCCCCCGCCCAAGTCAAAAAAACACAAGGTATGTGGTGTCGGTGCTTCGCCACGACCCTAAACCCTCAATCCTAAATTAACGCCCCCAAAGCCCTTAACCCTAAACCCTACACCCTCACCCCTAAACCCAAAAAGGCCGCAACAATCCTAAAACACTATACCCTAAAATCACCCAAATTCCTAAAACCCTAAACCCTTAAAACCTAGAGTCTTCAAAACCCTAAACCCTAAGCCCTAAACCCTAAACTCCCAAAATTCCTAAGACCCTAAGCCCGACAGAACAGATTCCTGAATCCTTAAACACAAAAATCTCCAAATTCCTAACACCCTAAAGCCTAAAGCCTAACACCCTAACACCCTGAAACCCGGAAAACTCCCCCAAAAAACCCTAAACAAACTCTGAACACTAAACCCTAAAACAACCCTAAAACACCCTAAAGCAACCCTTAAACAAAAACAAAAAACACACCCCTGAGCCCAAAACTTCGTGAGGCTTCGTGCTGGTGTTCACCCTAGAGCCCAAACCCCATACCCTAAACCCTAGACCCTACGCCTACACCCTAAACCCTAAACCCTGGGCCCTAAACCCTAACCCTAAACCCTCAGGCCCCGAGTCGATGTACAGTGAACTCCCCAACAATTGGAACATCACTCTCCTCACCCCCAAGAGGGTTTATGGTGTAGGGTTTAGGGTTTAAGGTTTAGGGTCAAAGATCTTCTCAGGTTCTGGAGTTTGTCTCTCACTTTTTCGTCGGGAGGTGGGGGATACGGTTAGGGCTCCTGCTTCGACGTTTAATGGGGGGAAGGGGGTTGCTTTCGAGTCACACCTGCACGCAACACACAAGCTCGTACAACACGCTGAATATTAAAACCTTCAAGCCCGAAGACCCACGTGTCCTAAACCCGTCCCCCCCCGGCCCCAAGCACAAGCTGCAGCAATACTACGGTCCCTGCTTGTGAGGAAAGGAAAAATGGGCACCATTTCACCACTGAGCCTGGAAGCCACAACCCTGAGTCCCAAAAACCCGAAAGCAGAAAGCGCCAGACACCTGAAACCCTAAAACCCAAAACCCTAAAACCCAAAACGCAAAAAAACAAAACATAAACCCGAAAACCCTAAAACCCTAAAACCCTAAAACCCGAAAGCCCTGCAACCGCGAAGACCCAAAAGAGGGCGTTTACCCGGCCATTGGTTCGGGGTCTCTTCAGTCCCGAGTTCAAAACCTTATCCTTTTAAGCCCCAACCGTTTAGTGTTTCGGATCGGGTTTAGGGTTTAGGGTTTAGGGTTTAGGGCTAAGGTTTCAAGGCTTAGGGTGTAGGGCTTATAGGTACAAGCCCCGAAACAGGGAGCCCGACCCTTCGGTGGCGTGACGCCGATGCGAGGGGGTTGCCTCCTGCGGCACTTAAGCACTTCTCAGTCTCCTACCCTAGAGCTACTGGATGGTGACCCCTGGAAGCCCCAGGCATATACTATATAGGTGCATGGGGGGCTTTCGAAAAATAGGGGGCCTCTTGAACGAACCCCAAATTGTCGGATCTCCTTTTTTTGGGGACCCCATTCAGGTACCCCTATTATTGTAGGCCCCCACATGGGTACGTGGACCCTTTTGGGCACTCTCACCTGCCTGACGCGCCGTCACCAGAACCACAGGCGTCCAGAGTTTTTTGAGAAGGGTTTAGGGTTTAGGGCTTAGGTGTAGGGGCTTAGGCTTTGGGGGTTTAGGTTTAGGGGCTTAGGATTTAGGGCTTTAGGGTCTTCAGCTTTAGAATGCAGGGTCTGGGTTTGGGGCTGCCAAGCTAGAGTTGAAACCAAAAGTCTGCTGGCCCATAGGGCTTCGACACCTAAACCTAGTTGCTGAATACCCTTTGCCAAAAAAGGGTTAGCCTTTCAATGAGGGCAGGGCTCTTTCTACCCCAGAGAGGTTGAATATTACCTTACTCAGCTACTAAGTAAACGCAAAAGACCAAAGAAAGACTCAACAGCAGTACTGGGTCTCGGGTTTGGGGCGTTTCGGGTGAGCCACACAAAAGGTCATCTAACTTATGATCACAAAAAGTCATGACCGGCATGTCCTGATGGTAGTCTCGCCGCGTTTGCTGCCGACCTCACAGACATGACTTGGAGTGTGGACTTCACAGTTTACTGTAGGGGTTGTGGCAAGCCTCCAACAACCTAAGGGTCCAGAAAGGCAGATCGCCTGTCTTTTTTCAAGCTGGGTTTAGGGTTTAGGGTTTAGGGACACTCAGTGCTTTGTTGGGCATGTTGCCCGAGAACCCAGAAACCAACCAAAAACCTTGACCCGAAACCCCTCTCATCCCTCAAATAAAACCCGATATGCCCTGCTACCAGCCCTCAACCTTAAACACCCTACACCCTACACCCTAGACCCTAGACCCCAAATACTTAGGGACACTAGCAGTACATGCCCTACTTCACCGCCCGCTCCCCTGCAGGACTACTATAGGAAATAGAGTGTCCAGCCTACTTTCACCTCAGTGAGAAACAGATTTAGGTTTCCCAAAATGTCCCCAGTCTGGCTAAAGTACGGCCATCCTTGTAATAGTAACCCCCAACAGTGTACGTGAAACCCAAACCCCCAAAAAAGGCTTAAGGAGGCCCAAAACGGGTAATGACCCTCAACAAACCCTAAACCCTAAATCCTAAACCCTAAATCCTAAACCCTGTACCCTAAACCCGAAACCCCAAACCCTAAACCCTAAACCCAGCCCCGGCCACTCCTGTTAACCAGCGGCTCTGAGTGTCCGGGGGCCGCGCGATCAACAGCATAGTACCTCAGCTGTAGGGTTTAGGGTTTAGGGTTTAGGGTTTAGGGTTTAGGATCTAGGGTCTCAGGGTCTTAAGAGATCAAAGGAGGGACCTTGTCAGGGACCCTGTAGGCTTTAGTATCCAAGCTTCCCCGTTTACCCTAAACCCTAAACCCTAAAACCTGGGTGGGAGGCTAGGTTTCAGCGGTTAACAACCCACATATGCATGTGTATGTATATATATATATGTTTTGTTAATCTATATTCATTTTTTAACAGACACAGTCCGTTGCCTAGTTATAGCCTAGAGTTGTGGTCTGTTGAGCTAGAGCTCGAATGGCACCAAGAGGTGCATGGAAATGGCTCGGAATTCGAACTGGCTTTGGGCGCCATGGTGCCCGGTGACCGCGGATCATCTACTTTTCTACCTGAAATCCAGCTTGAGCTCAGGTTAGTCTTTGTTCACCGATCCTGATCCCTTCGGATGCACCGATTCCCGTGCTGTTCTCTCTCTCTCTCTCTGTCTCGGTCTCTCTGTCTCTCTCTTGCAGATTGCACATGAGGGTTTAGGGTTCAGGGTTTAGGTTTTAGGGTTTCGGGATAGGGTTTCGCAAGCCCTGATACCCCAAACCCTGAAAGGACTGGCAGAACACCTGGGTGTGCCCAAAGCCAAGCACATTGTATGCGAATGTTGCAACAATAAAGCCTCTTGGGATTCGAGTTTAGGGTTTAGGGGTTTAGGGTTTATGGTTTAGGGCTTTTAGGGGTTCAGGGTTCGGGGTTTAGGGTTTAGGGTAAGGCCATCCACAGAGACAATCCTAGAACCTCGCAAGCCTTACATTCCAAATCTTCCGGTCGGCTGAGAGCTTTGGGTTTAGGGTTGAGTCTTTAGGGTTTTAGGGTTAAGTGTTTAGGGTTTAGGGTTTCCGTGGTGAGAGGCTCACGTGGCTGCCTCATCGAGTTTCCACTTGGACCCAAACTGAGTATTCAGGCTTACATGATCTTACATGTATGGTCCACATGGGCCCTATAGTGATTACACAAAAATGGCTGGCAACAATAACCTGGCCACCTAAAACAACTAACAACCCAAACTTCTTGATCCCCAGAGTCAACCAAAAACCCAAAACCCCGAACTCGACCCTAAGCCGAAAAAAAACCTGAACCCAAAACCCTGAACCCGCACACCATTATAAAGCCTGAGCCCTTAACTGGCCGGAAACACATAACCCGAATGGCCCTTGAAACCCTCTGAAAAATGCTCCTAAATATGGTCCTCTTAAACCCAATGAGGGAAAATGTGAAAAGTCGCTACCCCCCTCCCCCAGCGACCTACCCTTTTTAGGCCTTGTTAGGCCGTTTTAACAAAAAAAACAAAGAAGGCCCAAAAGTCGCGTAGTTAATCACCGGGTAATGAAGGACAGTTACTGGGACACCCACCTCACAGACCCCGATAAGCTAGCATTGGAAGAATCTACATTTTGAATCTGAAGCGGACAATGCTGTTTTTAGATGCTTAGATCAGTGTTTTTCTATGCAAATTGTGCGTTTCAAGGGCAATTAATGTTTTGTTGAGCAGCTAATTTATATATACAATTGTGTTTGTACGAGGCAAAGTATTTATCAAATAGTGAAACATTTTTCTTGGTTCTATGCGAATTTAGCTACTAGAGTAATTATTGAGCAAAGAGCCCAATTTGACTCAAGTGAATACTAAAGGAGCATACTCAACCAAGATACGAAATAAACACCATTTTCAACCGAGAAATGGCAAAGTGTGCGTTTAAAGTGCAAATACTGTATTTATACAATTGTGTTTGTACTAGGCAAAGTATACTCTCTGAAAAGTCCACTGAAATACCTTATGTTTATATATTCATGAATCGTTTTTCTTCTTGAAATAATCATTTTATGCGAATTTAGCTACTAGAGTAATTATTAAGCAAATAGCCCAATTTGACAGGACCATACTCAACCAAAATACGAAAGAAGCACCATATTCAACCAAAATATGGCAAAGTGTGGTTTAAAGTGCAAATAGTGCTTTGTTGAGCAACTAATGCATTGAAACAGTTGTGTTTATACCAGGCAAAGTATTATTGAAGTACTATCTGCAAAGTCAAAGAAACACCTTATGTTTACATATTCATGAAACAAAATTTTGAAGTATTCATTCTATGCGAATTTAACTACTAGAGGAATTCTTAAGCAAATAGCCGAATTTGACTCAAGTGAATACTATTTAAAGGACCATACTCAACCAAATACGAAATAAACACTTGCGGAAATGGAAACGGTTCTACCTACATAACAAGAAGACAAAGATTGCTGAAGTATTCACTAAAGACCACTTATATACTATGTCTGAAAAGCACAATTTCCATGAGCAAGCTGAAAGATGCACAATGATGGAAATAGAAGCGGTTCTACTTACATAACGATGAAACAAAGATGTCTGAAGTATTCAATAAAGACCACATATATACTATGCTTGAAAAACGCAACTTGCGCAATCAGGCTTAACAAATGCACAAGAATCCTAGAAAAGTACTTAGTGAAGGCCATACACAAGCAAATTCACAAATACATAAAAACATCCAAAAGCGCAAGCTTTTCAGGAGAATCTCTGGTAAAGTTTGGATTATAGGGTTTTGGGGTATTCCTGGACGAGTAGGAGTCACTTTTTAAGCAAACAATTCTAAGCAATAAATGCTTTTCTCAAGACAAGTATTGCAAATGCTGCTTCTAGATAATTAATCGCATTTACCAGGCCAATATTATCCATGCGAATTGAGCTACCAGAGCACCAAGTAATGGCTGAATAAGGCCTACTACACTTGAGTACAACCAAAAGATGCACTAAACACTAGCGGCTCTACTTACATAATAACGAAACAAATAGTTCTGAAGCACTAGAAAGATCACTTGTATACTATTTCTGAAAAGCACAATTAGCATAATCACACTTAAAAATGCGTAGTTGTTGCCTCGTGACCGTGAAGGCGAACCAAAAAGCCAAAATACCAAAACCAAAAAACCAAAAATACCAAAACCAAAAAAACCAAAAACAAAAACAAAACCAAAACAAACAAAAACACCAAAAACAACAATTTTCCGGGGCTCTTGGAGAAGCCTCATAGGGATTTCCTGAGAGTCCCGGAATATTGTTGTTTTTGGTATTTTTGGTTTTTTGGTTTTGGTTGTTTTTGGTTTTTTTTGGTTTTGTTTTTTTTTGTTTTTTTTGGTTTTGGTTTTTTGTTTTTTTTGGTTTTGGTATTTTTGGTTTTTCTACTGTCTAGTGATTTTCGTTGTATTTTAGTCTACGCCCTAGGAAATACGCTATATTGCACACCGAGTTTGCTTGCAGTGCAGCTGGGTGACTTGAGACAAGGCGAAAAAGGGTAGGTCACTGGGGGCGGGGGGGGGTACCAAAAAGTCCTAAGGGCCGACCTAGTTCACAAGGAGCCCGGAAGAAGCCTTCGTGTAGATCTCAGGTCTCTGCCGGTGCTCGCGTCCCACATCGGCTAGCCCGGGAACCTTTCCGAACTTGGGTAGGGTTTAGGGTTTAGGGTTTAGGGTTTAGGGTTTAGGGTTTAGGGTTTAGGGTTTAGGGTTTAGGGTTTAGGGTTTAGGGTTTAGGGTTTAGGGTTTAGGGTTTAGGGTTTAGGGTTTAGGGTTTAGGGTTTAGGGGTTGCAGGGTTAGAGTTTTAGGGTTTAAGGGGAACCCCCAACCCTGGGGCCATCCTCCCAAACACTCCCCCACACAAAAACAGATGCAGCCCTAAATGCCTACATCCTACATCGTATTTACACTCTAGACTTGAAATTGTGTGTGTGTCGATTTGGGGGTACAAAAAAATGGACGCTTCTGTGGCTTGATAGGGCCTTGGGGATTAGGGCCCACGGAACTGCTACTGAGTTTCTTTCCAAGTCAACCCCAGCTAACCCCTAAACTTGGGATGTTCCCCTTATACTATTCTTATCCCTCAAAAGGACGATTAGTATAAGGGAACATCCCCACCCTAAAACCATGAAGCCTTAACCCAAATGCTTGGTAGCCCCGCAACCATCTTACAACAAGAGTACCCGTTTTTGGTTGGTTACTTTATAAGAACACCCGGAACAAAGAAAGGGTAAAGGGTACCACTGGGCTACCAAGAAAGGGAAAAATGCGAAGGAGCCATGAAGCCTAAACCCTAAACCCTAAACCTTAAACCCTAAACCCTAAACCCTAAACCCAACAGAAGGCCTCGTAGCAGAGGGACTGCAAGCTGGATCGAGAGTTGCCACCTCGTGGGTTCCGTGACTGGGGTTCAAGGGGTTTGATATAAGGTTTGTATGGGTTTAGATAGGGTTTAGGGTATAGGGAAAAGGGCATAGGATTTAGGGATTTGAGTTTAGGGGGCCTAGGGTTTAGAGACTCAAAGGTGCTTTTAGGGACACGAGGGTTTGCAGGGTTGCTTTCGCGCAAGCAAATTGATGTTGTACCGGGCTCGAGACTTTGGAGGTTACCTTTCTGGCTTTTTGAACTTAGGTTCCTCCCCCCTTTTCTACAGCAGAAGCCTTTACCAACAGAATATATAGAGAGATAGATCGGAAGGGGGCGCAGTGCCATATAATAGCATCCACCGAGGCTGATGATCCTGTACACCTCTCGAAGTGAGGGATCTCCCATACTTGGAGGTTCAAACTTATAAGCCCAATTATAGGGTTTAGGGGTTTAATTCGGGTTTAGGGCATTTATAACCCCAATTGTACGTCTGCTTTATAACTTACTTGGAGGACTTACGGGGGGTTTTCAGTGCAGTTTGGGGTTATACCCTAAACCCTAAACCCTGAACCTCCGAGTAGGAAGCCTAACGCTAAACCCTTCTTCCACCCCATCGGCAGCTCTGGTACTGACAAAACCATGGTTTAGGGTTTAGGGTTTAGGGTTTAGGGTTTAGGGTTTAGGGTTTAGGGTTTAGGGTTTAGGGTTTAGGGTTTAGGGTTTAGGGTTTAGGGCACACCCTGAACCCAGCAAAGCCAAAAGCTCCCAAAGCCCCTAAACCCTAAGCAGCTCTAAGCCCCCTGCAAAACCGCCTCAGCCCTCAATCCGAAACCCCCTAACCCTAAACCCTAAACCCTAATTAAACACTGCACCCCCCAAAAAAAAATATATAATAATAATAAAATAAATAAACAAAAAACTAGACATCTAAGCTCGGCGCTCGGCGACAAGCCCGAGCTGCTTTGCTTCCGCAGGCTGGCCCTGCGACCACGGACGTTTGAGGCTTAGAGTTCATTTGGAGTTTGGGGGTGCAGGGATTGGGGGTATGGGGGTTTAGGGCAAGTTTAGGGGGTTTGGGGTTGGAGTTCGTTTGGAGTTTGGGGGTTTAGGGGATGGTTTGGGGTTTGGGGTTTGGAGTTTTTGGGACTTGAGGTTCAGGGATCTTTTGGGGTGTGCCGGGACCATGTAACTACCCTAAGATCAAAGGTCTCCAAAAAGTTGACAAGCCTCGCATCCCCACATACACGGGTCTCAGCGCCACAGTCAAAGGCCCCTGAGCCAGAGCCCTTTTTCCGAGCAACCCCTGTTTCGCCCGTTCTTCAACACAACCCCAAATGGCCAGCTTTGGTGTGTGTCGCATTGCTTTGGCACATTGCCCTGGAGCCGAAGCCCGAAACCTTGAACCCTAAACCCTAAACCCTAAACCCTACGCCCTAAACCTTGAGCCCTAAACCCGAAACCCTAAATTAACCCTAAACCCAAACCAAGCGCGGGTACACGCAGCGAAGAGGGAGCGGTCCAAGCCCCACAAGCTTAAAACCCCTCAGGGTTTAGGGTTTAGGGTTCAGGGTTTAGGGTTTGGGGTTTGTGGTTTAGGGTTTGGGGCCTTCAGAGCCACCCAAGCCCTAAACCCAAAAGCCTAAAACCCTAAAACCCGAACACCCCAAAACCTCGAAAACCCAAAAACCCTAAAACCCAAAAACCCTAAACCCCTGAACCCCTACAACACTAAACCCCTAACCCCAAACCCCTAAACCCTAAACCCATACTGCTTCTGGAGGCCGGGGGCCTCTTGCAAGGGGAGGACCTTCCAGGGCTTTGAGCACCTCGGTCCTGAGGGGGAGGTTTTCCGGGTTTTAGGGTCTTAGGGGTTTACTTTGTTTGCGGGTTCAGGGTTCAGGGTTCAGGGTTCAGGGTTTAGGGTTTAGGGTTTAGGGGTTTAGGGGTTTAGGGGTTTAGGGGCTTAGGGCTGATGTAGGGGCTTATAGGGGGGGTTTAGGGTCTTAGGGCTTAGGGTTTTGGAGGTCTTGGGGGGCTTAGGGGGTTCCGGGGCTTAGGGGTTTACTTTGCTTGGGGGTTTAGGGTTGGAAGGCGTTCTTCTTGTGGATTTAGGAGGTCCGGGTTGCTGGTTTAGGCTTGTTAGGGCTTAGGGCTCATAGGGTTTAGGGTTAAGGGTTTGTAGGGTTTAGGGTTTAGGGTTTAGGGTTAAGGGTTTGTAGGGTTTAGGGTTTAAGGTTGCTAGGGGTAGGGCTTCTAGGGGTTTTGGTACAGTTGTGATGGGGTCCTAGGATTTGCAGCACTCAGGTTTCGGGGGGGCACCTGGGCTTCAGAGTACAAGGATTTAGGGCTTAGGGCTTAAGATTTAGGGTTTGGGGCTTGCAGGGTTTACGTAGGGTCCAGGGACAAGTTCTGTGTGCACAGAGCTTCCAGCAGTTTCCCCCTGGGAACAAGCGGGGATCGACCGTAGTCGGCCCAGTCGGTTGCAGAAGGTTGGTGTAGGGCAGGGGCGTGAAGGGCCCTAGACCCTAAACCCTAAGACCTAAATCTAAAGCTTTAAGCCCTAAACCCTAAACTTAGGGATGCGGGGCGTTTCAGGATTCGGGGTATTTGGGTCATGTAGGGCGTGGGAATGACAGGTTTTTGGGGCTTCTTAAGGGGCCAAACTTGCCAACCACTACTTCTGAGGGCGGCACAGGCAACGGAATGAAACCAAGATCACTAAGCCAACCGCTACTTATGAGGCTTCTTCGTTTGCAAGGACTCAGGAGTTTTGGTTGTAGACCCTAAAAACCCGAAACACACACTCACAACAAACCGGAAAAAAAAAACCTTAAAAACCCTAAAACACCCTTACAAACCCCCAAAGAAACCCTAAACCCCTGAACCCCTACACCCCTACAGCCCTACAGCCCTACAGCCATACACCCCTACACCCCTAAATCCCTAAACCCTAAACCCTGGGGAACCCACGGCCTCCTTGGTGGCCAATGAGAAGAAAGCCGAGTCCGGGTGGAGCGGATCTGCCGAGCGCCATGGGATCACGAGATGACGCAAATACCCTTACTTGGGGCTTAGGGTTTAGGGTTTAGGGGTTTAGGGCTTAGGGTTTGGGGTTTAGGGTTTAGGGGGATAAGGGTTTAGAGTCCTTAAGAACCCCCCCCAAACAAAAAGATTAACATTGAACATGTTTTGCTTCTCACAAGGATGGTATAGGGATGATTATCTTATATGGTACTGTAGTTAATTAGAGTTTAGGGATGAGGGTTTAGGGTTTGAGGGGTTCAGGGTTCAGCGTTCCGGGATAAGGGCAGAGGATTTGAGGGTTTGAGCGTTTAAGGGATAAAGACTTTGATTTACGGGTTGAAGGCTTAGAGATAAGGGTTTGGGGTTTAATCCTATCGCAACCGCCATATGGCTATTGGGGCCATTCCGGGGGTTTGGCGTCGGCAGGGTGGGAGGAGGGAGGGGGGGTGCAGTATCCCTAGACCACTCGAAGGATCTAAACCATGAGCCCGAAACCCGAAACCCCAGACCCCTAAACCAACAAACCCCCAAGCCCCTAAACACCCAAACTGCACGGAGCCCGGAATACTAAACCCGAGCTCGCCCTTCATCTGACCAACAACATCCTCCCGATGCTCCCCTTCTACAAAGTAAGTGGTGTTAAGGGGTAGAGGGATTAGGGTTTAGGATTCCGGGTTTTGGGTTTAGGGAGGGACGATCTTGAAGGGACCCTTAATCTTATTCCCCCATATATCCCTTGTATATGCCTTATACAGTCCCTGTATGCCTAAGTAGCCTCTAGAACCTTCAAGGTCCCTTATACGGGTCCCTCCTTGAGTCTCTTGATGATGGTTATAGAACATACCCGAAAGGCCTACCTTGGTGCCCAAACCCCACAAACCCCAAAACCCCAGCTAGGGTTTAGGGTTTAGGGTTTAGGGTTTAGGGTTTAGGGTTTAGGGTTTAGGGTTTAGGGTTTAGGGTTTAGGGTTTAGGGTTTAGGGTTTAGGGTTTAGGGTTTAGGGTTTAGGGTTTAGGGTTTAGGGTTAGGGTTTAGGGCTTAGGGCTTAGGGTTTAGGGCTTAGGGCTTAGGGCTTAGGGTTTCGGGCCAGCGGAATCCACACGAGGAACCTACAGGCAGTACTCGACGGCAGCCAGGGGCCAGCGAGGAAGACGCGTCTGGCGGATCACGTGACTGTCTTTTAGGGCTAGTTTCGGGGTTTAGGTTTTAAATTTTAGGGTTTAGAGTTTAGGAATAGGCTTTAGGTTTTGGATTTTGGGTTCAGGGTTTGTTATTTAGGTTTAAGGCTAGTTAAGGGGTAGCATTAGGGTTTACTCAACGGTTGCACTAGCCATACCTTCGATCGGGTTTTGAGTGTAAGTGATCTTTGCGAAAAACCCTAAACCCTATACCGGGTAGCGGAATTCCTGACAGTCTTGCTCAGGAGTACTGAGTTTATGGCTTAAACCCCAGACTCTACACCCGAATGCACCTGAAACTGCGTATGGTCGAATCTACAAGTTATGGTCCCAGTTCGGGTACCCATAACTCTTGACCATACTTTGGAAACCCCAAACCCCAAACCCTAAACCCTAAACCCCAAACCCCAAACCCCAAACCCTAAACCCTAAACCCTAAACACAGGGTTTTGTTTAAGGATGGACGCATCAGGCCTCGTTGGAGTCGCAGCGTTAGGGGCGTGAGGTTCTCAAAGATGTACGGCACAAAAAGGACGCAGCCTCAGCGTGTGAAGGGAGGGTTGAGGGTTGAGGGTTGAGGGTTTAGGGTTGTTGAGGTTTTAGGGTTTCGGGTGCTGAGTGCATTTAGCGTATGTAGCTGTATAGGTTTTAGGGTAGTGGTTCAGGTTTAGGGTTAGGGCTCAGGGGTTTTCAGGTTCGGAGCTTAAGGGCTTCAGGGTTATTAAGATTCAAGGGCCTCGGTTTCAGGTAGGGTGTTTAGGGATTAGGGCTTAGGATCTAAGGTTTAGGGTTTAATTAGGGTTGACGGGGAAAAGCCATTCAATCCCTAGTAGGGTTTGGCTTGCATTTTGGGGTGTAGGGGTCAAGGCTGCTGGCGCCCTTTGCGGCTTGGATGTTTCAGTTTAGGGTTTGGGGTTTGGGGTTTGGGGTTTAGGGTTTAGGGTCTTCGCTTGCTGCGAGGCCTTCGGTCTTCGAAGTAGGCCCTGGTTGCGGTTTAGGGTTTAGGGTTCAGGGTTCAGGGTTAGGGTTGAGGGTTTAGGGTTTAGGGTTTAGGGTTTAGGGTTTAGGGTTTAGGGTTTAGGGTTTAGGGTTTAGGGTTTAGGGTTTAGGGTTTAGGGTTTAGGGTTTAGGGGTTTAGGGGTTAGGGTTTTAGGGTTAGGGTTTAGGGTTTAGGGTTAGGGTTAGGGTTTAGGGTTTAAGGTTTAGGGTTTAGGGTTTAGGGTTTAGGGTTTAGGGTTTAGGGTTTAGGGTTTAGGGTTTAGGGTTTCGGGTTTAGGGTTTAGGGTCTAGGGTTTAGGGTTTAGGGTTTAGGGTTTACCCCAAACCCTCCCTCCACCCCCAAGCCGCGCGCTATCCCGTGTCAGCTCCAGCGTCACCTGCTGCAAAATGTCAGATCGTCGGTTGGCTTCCGGCGTTAGGGGTTAGGTAACGGTTCTCAACCCTCACCCTAAACCCTAAACCCCAAACCCTAAACCCTAAACCCCAAACCCTAAACCCTAAACCCTAAGCCCTAAACCCAACCGCCCCTCCAAAATACAAAGGAGAAACCTACACGACCCAACCCGGCTCCTAAAAACCCTGAGACCTGAAACTCGAAACCGAGCCCCAGAACTCCAGAACCCTTCTCGAAAGTGTCGCAATAGGTCTAAGCCCTGAACCCTAAACCCTAAACCCTAAACCCTAAACCCTAAACCCTAAACCCTAAACCTCAACCCTAAATCCGAAAACCCTGAAGCCCCTGTAGTCTGGTCTATGGCTTAGGGTTTACTAGACCTTGGTCGCCAGCCTCCACAACCAGAAACAATGCCAAGCCCCCTCAACCCCCTCAAGCGCCTAAGGGGTTTAGGGTTTAGGGCTAGAAACCCCTAAGCCGTACAAAGCACAACTCTCAACCCTAAACCCCCAAACCCCCGCAAGCCGAAGCCCTTAACCCTAAACCCTAGACCCTAAACCCTAAACCCCTGGCCTGCATTGACTGTCCACCCGGACAGTCCAAACTCAAATACTGGTAGTGCCTGGGCATTCAGGGATTGAGGGTTTTCGGGTATAGGCTTAGAGGGCTTAGGGGTTGAGAGGTTTCAGCGTTGAGGGTTTGGGGCCCCGGGAGGGGGGGGGGGGGGGGTGATCTTTCGGGAGTCAGGCTTAGGGCTTGCGGCAAGAGTCTCTTCACATAGTGCAGGCTGCAGCAACGTTTCAATCAACAGCGCACCCCAAAGAACCCTAAAATCTAGACAGCAACTCAGCTAGCCCTACACCCATTGCTGCACACCCTACGCCTAGACGCGAAGCCCTATACCTTGCGCAACAAAGTCTAAGGCGCGACTCAAGGGCTTGGCTTGGGGTAACGAGGACCTTCCGTTCACCCTTCGGCGCCGCGGTCTCCATGTACGTGTCGGGCGCAGAGGTTAGTGCCCTCCACTCTGGGTATCCGCTCTGTGGGCCAAGAGGATCTGCCGTCGGCCACGCCGCTTCATACTCGCGAACCATCGCCGCGGACTTACCCCACTCGGCGGAGACCCCTGCAGCGAGTGCCTCACGACGATTCCTTGAAAGCCATGCGGGCACCGGGTCTGCTGACTCAACGACACCGTCAGGTGTCACCGACTTGTCTCCGTAGAAGACGTTGTCAAAATCGAATGTGTAGCACGGCGCGCGTCAAAAGTCGGCCCAGCTTGCGAGGTCGATTTTTCCAGGGGCGCCTGTCGGCGATCGCCGGCTTGGGCTTGTGCAGTCTTAATCAGGGGTTTAGGGTTTAGAGTTTAGGGTTTAGGGGTTTAAGTTCGGGGCTTAAGGTTTCGGGCTTAGGGCATGGGAAGTCGGGTCCGGAGCTTATAGGGCTTATAGTACACATTGACACCTGGCCCGCGAGAACATGGTCACACGCATCCCAGAACTCCTGCCCGGCCCGCAGCCCCGAATCCTGAATCCCGAAACGTTCAAAACCCTGAGCCCTAAACCCTAAACCCGAAACCCTAAACCCCAAGCCCTAAACCCCAAACCCTACGTTTACGGTTTAGGGCTTAGGGCTTAGGGCTTAGGGTTTAGGGCCGAGGATGTAGAGTTTCGGGTTTAGGGTTTAGGGCTTCAGGGTTTGGGGTATTGGCCCGTTCAAACGAACTCCGCATAAGCGCAAGAAAGGACTGGGGAATACTGAGCTTGGGATCAGGGCTCAGGGTTGTAAAGGTCCTTTCCATGGGATGGACCACCGAATCAGAAGTCCCCGAAACCCTAAACCCTAACCCCCTAAACCCTACAAATCCTAACCCTAAACCCTAAACCCTAAACCCTAAACCCTGCAAACCCTAAAGGGGCAAGGAGAACACTCCTAACTAAACAGGTCGATGCTACCTTCGGGTTCTTTTCGGGGACGGTGGGATCAGGGTGTATAGGGTTTAGGGTTTAGGGTTTAGGGGTTAGGGTTTATAGGGCTTCTAGGCTTCACAGGGTTTGTCGGGCTTTTCGGGTTTTTAGGATTTATTGGGTTTATGGGATTTATGGGGCGTACAGGGTTTAGGGTTTAGGGTTTGGGGTTTGGGGTTTAGGGTTTAGGGCTGAGGGCCGAGGGCTGAGGGTTGCGTGTCTTACCAGGGCCGCGCGCGGCCGATTCGCGCTGATGGCGGGCAGCTTGAGCAAGCCTCGGCTGCCGAATTCATAAGTTCTAGGGCTTAGGGTGTAGGGTTTAGGGTTCGGGGTTCATGGAGGTAGGTACCTAGGGAATAGGGAACCTTAGGGAGGCTTAGGGGTTCTTAAGGGAGTGGGGTTCACCAGGGGGGTATTTTTAACCCAAGGTCCCTTAATAAACCCGGAACCCTGAACCCACCTTCCCAGAGACTTCGGTTTTGGGGTTTAGGGTTTAGGGTTTAGGGTTCGGTTTCGGTTGTCGGGTTCTAGGCTTACGGGTCTATGGGGTTATTGGCAGTTAGTTAGAGGCTTCCAGAGCTGGCTGGGTACCCTTAAACCCTTAAACCCTAAAACCTAAAACCCTGAAACCCTCAAACCCTTGAACCCTGAACCCTAAACTATGATGCCTTCTGAGTCGGGAAATCCATTCGGAAGACCTGGTGAACATGTATTTCAAGTACCTCTGGTCTCCAAACATGGCATAGCCAAGTAATTATAATCAGTCGCTTATACGCTCGATAACCTCAAACCCTAGACCCTACTTGAGGGAATCATGAAGGAGGGAACCCAGTTCCCCCAAATCTCTACCAAGAACCGAGGGTTTAGGGTTTAGGGTTCAGGGTTTAGGGTTCAGGGTTTAGGGGTTTAGGGTCAGGAGAACCCTAACCCTAAACCCTAAACTCTAAACCAAAGCTTCTTGGAAAGTATCTCTCTTGGTCTGGCGACTCTGCCGTTTAACACTTCGTGCGTGTACAGGGCTTTTCAATTTAGGGCTTAGGGCTTAGGGTTTTAGGGTTTTAAGGTTTGAGGCTTGGGTTCTACGGTTTTACGGTATTAGGGCTTTAGGGTTTGGGTTCAGGGGTACTGGGCTTTTCATGCTGAGTAGGGAGACATTTGGGCTTGAGGAATAGTTGGGATCGCGGAATCTTGCAGCAAATGCAGAATGCTCCCTTCTCTAAACTCTCAACCCCTAAACCCCAAAAACCCCCGGCTCGCGCCACCGACGCGTAGTGCGGTGCTTCGAGGGTTTAAAGTTTAGGGTTTAGGGTTTAGGGTTTAGGGGTTTGCGGTGTAGGTATTGAAGGCTTCGGAAAGCCTGTCTAAGCCCCGAACCCTAAACCCGAATCTCAACCCTCGACGGTCTTTAGGATCTTTGAGGCATTTGCCTGTTGCGCAACCTCAGGTCACTAATGACCATCAGAAGTACCACCCCAAGCAGTACAGACCCAAACTCCTAATGTATGAACATGAAACCTCCAACCTCCCACAGAAAAAAGCCTCAATAAAAAGTCTTCAAAACCCCAAACTCCTAAAACCCTAAACCCCTAAACGCCGAACACCTACACCCTAAACAGCAGCTGCTGCGTCTAAGTGGCAGGTGGCGCTGGCGATGGTTCCGGCCAGCTCCTGACAAGGTGTTGGAGAGGGTTTTGTAGGGTTTAGGGTTTCAGGCCTTTGGGTGTTTTTTATTTTTATAGTGTATTTGCTGTTTATGAAGAAACCCCTAATGGAGCTACCGACATTGCAGCAAAACCGCTGCCAGCATCAACAGCTAAGAGTTGTATTTGATCTACCCCTAAAACCCTAAACCCTTCTCACTTTTTAATTAACCCTAAACCCTAACCCCTAAACCCTAAACCCTACATTGATTCGGGTGGTATTTCAAAACCTCCTAAGACCCCGAGGCCTGGGGATTTCCAATGCAAAAGGCAAGCCCTTGCAAGCTCCAAAAGCCACAAAACTCTAACCCTAAACCCTAAACCCCAAACCCTAAACCCTAAACCCTAAACCCGAAACCCTAAGCCCTAAACCCTAAGCCCCAATCATCTCAACCGAAGCATCAGCTTCAAAGGCCCTCAAATCCGGTTACAGACATCGTTTCACAGGGGGGGTCGGCTAAAGCAACTGCGTCCTTAAGCTCTTTTTTGTTTTGGGTTTAGGGTTTAGGGTTTAGGGTTTAGGGTTTAGGATTTAGGGTTTAGGGTTTAGGGTTTCGGGTTTCGGGTTTAGGGTTTAGGGTTCAGGGTTGATGCGGATGTATATGTTTTCTCCAAAACCCTACGCCTTGAACTCCCAGCCATAAACCCTAAATTGGGTTTACGGTTTAGGGTTAAGCCCGAAGCCTCGAGGCAGATCCCGGTTTTGAATTGCCCAGGCTTTCGTATTCTTTCAGGGTACAGGCTTAAGAGTTTGGGGGTTTAAGGCCCTCTTTCAGTGTGTTGAGCTTTAAGCCTTACCAAGTCTAGCCCTATATCATGTACCTTCAAGTGGAAGGAATCGTGACATAACTTTCGGTATGCTTACCCTTTCGTAACGTACAAGGTTGCCCTACTGCCTTCAGTTGGCGAGAAGCAACCCTGAACCCTCAAACCCGAATCTCGAGAGCCGAAAGCCTCAACTAGAAGCATCCTAATGGAACCCCAAGCAGGAAACCCCAAGAATACAGTAGGAATATAAACGGGAACGTGAGGACCCTCGTAGGTATATTCCTACTGCATTCTTGGGGTTCCCTCCCCTAAACCCTAAACCCCGAAAGCCCTGAACCCTAAACCCCTTAACCCTTAAACCCTAAACCCCTAACCCTTAAACCCTAAACCCGCAATCCTAAACCCTAAACCCTGAAACCCGACACCCCTAAAGCCTAAAGCCCGAAGCCTAAAGCCCTAGGGCCCTAAACCCTAAACCCTAAACCCTAAACCCTAAACCCTAAACCCTAAACCCTAAACCCTAAACCCTAAACCCTAAACCCTAAACCCTGCACCTGGAAGCCCCTAAAGCCTGAAGCCCTAAACCTTGCGGTGGATGGACAGAGTCTCCTCGGCCTTGATGGTGTGTTCGGACTTCAGAAACTCCTCAACGTCCTGCAGCTGAGCTGAGTAGCCCTAAACCCTAAACCCTAAACCCTAAACCCTAAACCCTAAACCCTAAACCCTAAACCCTAAACCCTAAACCCTAAACCCTAAACCCTACACTCCTGCCTCTACGGGGTTTTCAAGGCTCAGGAGCTCAGAACATGTGGGGCTCAAAGAGCTCTGCTTTTCCAGGCCCGAGCTTTGCTTCGGGTTGATTCAAACTCTTGACTTGGGGTTAACGGTTTAGGGTTTAGGGTTTAGGGTTTAGGCTTTAGGGTTTAAGGTTTGGGGTTTGGGGTTTAGGGCTTAGGGTTTAGGGTTTGGGGTTTGGGGTTTGGGGTTTGGGGTTTGAGGTTTGGGGTTCAGCCCCCAAACTGCAAACGCTTTGGCGATTCCTAGTTGGGGGTTTAAGCTTGAAGTTACAGGAGGCGGAAGAAAGGGAACTCTCTGCGACAGAGAGCCCATCTGCCAAGCGCAGAAAGTGTATGTAATCTACGATGTGCTTAAGACCCCCCCGCAAAAAAAAAATAAAATAAAACAACAAAAACACGCATCTTCCTTTTCAAAGTCATATAATAAGGATTATTTACCTTTAATGTGGTCTCCTGATTAGTGTGGGGCCCCCCCCCCCCAAACAAATTCCGCCCCCGCAATAGTATCAAAAAAAACGGAACCCCCGAACTAATTTTCGGCCCCGGGCCCCTCCGATCCCGGCTCCTCTTCATTTCCTCTTGGCTCCTCTTCCCTCTCCTCTTCCTCTCCTCTTCATCTCCTCTTCCTCTCCTCTTCCTCTCCTCTTCCTCTCCTCTTCCTCTCCTCTTCCTCTCCTCTTCCTCTCCTCTTCCTCTCCTCTTCCTCTCCTCTTCCTCTCCTCTTCCTCTCCTCTTCCTCTTCGGTAATGTTGTCTGCATATGAATTTAAAGGGGATCCATTTATCCCAACCAAGCCAGCCCGCAAAAAAAAATTAATTCCGGGGGAGCAAGCGTTTTATATTATACGGCATTCGGGCAGCTGCTGGACTACCCCGTTTGAAATTTGATTGCCCGGCCTCGGTACAGATCATTTTATAAGGAAAACTTAGCTTTGGGGCTGGCCTGGAGGCTTAAGATTTCAGGGCCCGACAACCTCAGGCCTCAAGGTTTAGGAAGCCTCAGCCCTTAGGCCTCTGGATCCAAACCCAACTAGCCCGCAAAAAAAAATATAATTCCAGGGGAGCAAAGGTTTTTTATTATACGGCATTCGGGCAGGTGCTGGGCTACCCCCTTGGAAATTTAATTGCCCGGCCTCGGCACAAAAGCATTTTATAAGGAAATCTTAGTTTTTTGGGGCTGGCCTGGAGACTGAAGATTTCAGGGCCCGACAACCTCAGGCCTCAAGGTTTAGCTCAGGTAAGCTCAGATGAGCTCAGCTCAGGTAAGTTTTTCTCTCTTGCGAAACCCATGCCGGAAATACTTTTCGTTATAGTGGGGGGGGGGGGGGGCAGCCGAATCTTTGTCCCTTGAATTGTTTTTGAAAACTTCTCATTTTTGACGGGGTCCACACTAATCAGGATACAACATTGTTTTTGTTGTTTTTTTTTGTTTGGGGGGGGGGGGGGTTCCCGCTTATACTAACAGTCCTCAATAGGGATTATAGTACCCCCCCCCTGTTATAGTCCCCATTACTTAAGGAAAAATTAAGCTTAAGGCAAAAACATCCCAAGCTCTGATGGGATTTGCTAACGGTTCTACTAACAGTCATGAATAGGGATTATAGTACTCCCCCCTATTATAGTCCCTTTTAAGGAATTAATACACTAAGGACAAACACCCCAAGTTCGAATGCAAAGAGTGATCACGCGCAGGAAAAAGCGCTTGCGGATGGGAGCCCGAAACCTATGCCAACGCTGGGGCAGCTCCGAAGCCTGCGTGCGTCAGCTTATGGCCTAAACCCTAAACCCTAAATCCCAGAGCTTTAGTCCTAAACCCTAAACCCTAAACCCTGAACCCTAAACCCTAAACCCTAAACCCTAAACCCTAAACCCTAAACCCTAAACCCTAAACCCTAAACCCAACGCCAACCACAAACCTTAAAGTCTTCGTAGGGTTTTGGGTTCAGGGCTTTACACAAAACAACAAGGTCGAGTCCGCCCTCAAGTCCGCGGGTCCTCCTCTCCTCCACCACCCTCGCCGACCTGCGGTGCAGGTGGGCATGCACAACTGCTCGCTGAACCGAGAGCCCGTAGGGTTTAGGGTTTAGGGTTTGGGGTTCAGGGTTTAGGGTTTAGGTCAACCAAAATTCTCCCAATGGGGTTAACGAGTCAGGATGCAGAGCTTTGCCAACTGTTGCAGCACTTTAGGTCAGACATTCTTGCCGGTGCCTCTTTCGGGAGAGATTTGAGGGACCAACTTCTCAACTCTAAACCCTGAGCTCCAAACTCTTCCAGCCTCCTTCAACGCAAAGCACAAGCCAGAAGCATCATCAGTCTGTCCCGGCTAGCCTGAGACCCACAACGCAAAACCCGAAGCTCAAGCTTCAAACGCCTGCAGCCCTAACACCTCACTCAACCCCAACCTAAACCCGGAACCGTAACCCTGAACGCTTAGTGTGCAGGCTGTGGGGTTTTGTTGGGCTGACCCTAAACCCTAAACCCCTAAACCCTTAACCCCTAAACCCTAAACCCAGAACCCTAAGCCCTAAACCCAGAACCCTAAACCCTAAACCCTAAACCCTAAACCCTACACCCCGTGTGCTTGAAGGCCGAGCGCGAATGCCTCCGAGTTCTGGAGCTCCTCGCAGAGCGAGAAGCAGCGAAGGCGCAAGAGGCGCTTCGCGAAGGGCAGGGCCACCTGCGATGTGTGATTTCTAGCCCTAAACCCCAAACCCTAAACCCACCCTAGACCCTAAATCTCAAACCCCAAACCCTACATCTCCTCTCACCATATCTGTTACCCCCCGAGCAGACCCCCTTAGGGTTTCGGGTTTAGGGTTTCGGATTTAGGGTTTAGGGTTTTGAATACTTGGTAACCCAGCAACCATATCACAACAAGGGTACCCTTTTTGGGGTTGGCTACTTTGTAAGGCAAAAAAAAGCCAAAAAGGGTCCTTAATCCCTAAACCCTAAACCCTAAACCCTAAACCCTATACCCTATACCCTAAACCCTAAACCCTAAACCCTAAACCCTAAACCCTAAACCCTAAACCCTGATCCCTAAACCCTAAACCCTAAACCCTAAACCCTAAACCCTAAACCCTAAACCCTGAACCCTGAACCGCAAGCATAGGGTTGGGGTTTAGGGTTCTTTGACCCTGAGGACAGACAGGGCGCGCATGTCGTTTTGCGAATGAGGCAGCCTTTAGGCCCGTAAGAAAGGAGTGATGATACTCTGCTGGGTGCATCCTCGAGGACTGCGGACTGGTGATTCGGGTTTAGGGTTAAGGGTTTAGGGTTTAGGGCTTAGGGATTAGGGTTTAGGGTTTAGGGTTCAGGGTTAAGGGTTTAGGGTTTAGGGTTCAGGGTTAAGGGTTTCGGGTTCTCACGGGCTTCTGTGGTACCCAGGCGCCCTGCCCTGCCCAAGCGCCCGAGAAATCGGATGAGCCTCCTGGTCCACGCCGAGCGCCTTCGACGGGTGCAGGGTTTAGGGTTTAGGGTTTAGGATTTAGGGTTTGGGTTTAGGGTTTAGAATTTAGGGTTTAGGGTTTAGGGGCGGGCTGGCTTTGTTTCGGGGTAGGCTTTGGGGGTCAGGGAGCAGGGCTGAGGCTTGAAAAAGCCCTATAACTCCTAGATCCTATAAACCCTTCGGCCCTGTAAACCTTAAACCTCGAACCGGGGGAGGGGGGGGGGGGGGGGGGGGGCCGCAGGGGGACAAGGACCTCGAGGCTTTAGGGCTTAGTCTAGGGATGTATATATAAAGTAGGGTTTATACCTCTTGTACTGCGGACTCGAGGTCGTGAATCATATGAAGGTGAGACAGGGTTTATACCTGTTGTATCCCCAAAGGACACCAAGTATAGACGCTCACCAATGTTAAACAGGAACCTTATATGCACTCACCACTAACAGAAAAACAAACCTTGCTTCAATATGATGTAGAGTCCACGCTGGCAGCTTCCGGACTTGCTGGTGAGGCCGTCCAGCCACGCTCTCGCCGTGCCCCTGCCCTTCAGGCCGTGTTCTTGAGTGCTTCCCATACACACGTCATTTGCACCCCTGTCCGAACAGATGGCCGAAGACCCTGTCACAGAAGTTGTCTTTCGAACTCCATGCGTCGGGTTGCAGATTAGAGTTTAAGGGGTTTCGGGGCTTCGCAACTCGGGTTTGTAGGGCTACCCCCCCCCCCCCCCCCCCCCCCCACAAAAACACCACGAGCTCCGTAGTTTCGGGGTTAAGGTGTAACCAATACTCCTCAACACCACCCTAAACCCGAAACCCTAAACCCGAAACCCTAAAGGACGCTGTCTTCCCCTGAGGGCCGCGCATAAGTGGCGATGCCATGGGAAGAAGCGCCGTCCTTCGTGCTCCTGAGGCGAAACTCCATACGCCCTGTAAGCATCTTGTTCAAGCCCTGCTGTGAAACCATCCTAAACCCTAAACCCTAAACCCTAAACCCTAAACCCTAAACCCTAAACCCTAAACCCTAAACCATCAGAGGTGCAACCTGAGGGGTACGAGTTCAATTGCTCAACCTGAAACCTACACCCTAAAGCCTAACCTAAACCCTGGCACTAGAGTCCTAATCCCTGGACCACCTAAACCCTAAACCCTAAACCCTAAACCCTAAACCCTAAACCCTAAACCCTAAACCCTAAACCCTAAACCCTAAACCCTAAACCCTGGCGTGAGTCTTAATCCACCACCTAAGGCCGTGGCGATGTGAGCTCACTGATGCCTTCGAGCCTGGGATGCGACAGCAACATCAGCACCACAGCACCCCCCCCCCACCCCCCAGGGTTTAGGGTTTAGGGTTTAGGGTTTAGGGTTTAGGGCTTTGGTGTTTAGGAAGTTTAGGGCTTGCTTGGGGTGTGAAAAACATTATCCCCCTCCCAAAGAGGAACCGATCTGAACCCTAGAGCCCCCTAGAGCCCAAATCCTCACCTCCGCTTGCTTCTTGCTCATACAAACCCTTAGGAGCGGAACTGGATGGTACTGCATATGAGTATTCCAAATCCTTTAGGCACGGGACAGGCTTAGGGTTTAGGCTTAGGGCTTGGGGTTTGCAAGATCAGTGAGGGTTTAGGGGCTTAGCCTCGTGGGTTCGGCTGCAGCTTGAGGCGGAGCAGCTTTAGGGGTTTGGGGGCTTTGGGGCATTCGGCCTTGCGTTTCAGAAGTTTTGTGAGGCCTGAGGGGTTTGGCGAGCAGGGGGCTTTAGGCCAAAAAAACTCAACCCTAAACCCTAAACCCTTCAACTCTCAACCCTAAACCCCAAACCCCAAACCCCAAAACGAGGGTGGCAGTTCAGCCAGCGCACTGGGTGTGCTTAACCAGCGATCCATTCTCTGCCTCGCACCGTGGCTGTATTTAAGGCTGGGTTGGGGTTCAGGGTTTAGGGTTTAGGGTTTCGGGGTTTAGGGGTTCAGGGGTTTAGGGGTTTAGGGGTTGAGGGGTTGAGGGTTTGGGGCTTGGGGTTTGGGATTTGAGGTTTAGGGCTGAATCAAAGGGTGCCCTGTCAACCAGGGTGCATGAGGGAGCGTGAGCCACACAACGGAGTGAGGGAATTACCGAGTATTTCTTGGTTCTATTGACACGATGCGGGGTTTAGGGTTTAGGGGTTAGGGGTTAGGGGTTAGGGGTTAGGGAATAGGCGTTTAGGGTTTAGGGGCGTTTAAGGCTTCAGGCTTGGGGCGAACACGCTGAGACTGCTGAGAGCAGTTTGTGGGTCCAGGGTTTTGAGTAGAGGTCTTAGGGCTTAGGTTCTCCTAGTTTCAATCTTGTTTTGTGTTATCTGGCTTTAGGGCTTATAGGGGGGCTGGGCATAGCATCGTGTGGTTCGTGCAACCCCTTACCAGGCCAGATCCCTGGACCCCATCCGTCCCCGAAAACCCTGACCCCAAACCCCAAAATCCTAGAACCCTAAAGGGTTTAGGGTTTAGGGTTTAAGGTAAACCTAAACCCTCAAACCTCCCAAGCGGTCAAGCCAACCGCCTGGGCGAAGCATGCAGCTGCCGGATCCTCCTGAATCTGGGCGGGTTTAGGGTTTAGGGTTTAGGCTTTAGGGTTTAGGGTTTAGGGTTGGGGTTTAGGGTATAGGGTATAGGGTGTAGGGCTTCGGGTTTAGGATTCAGGAATGCCCGCCATCCCCCCAGCCATACGTAGAGTTATAAGGACCCCAAAATTGGGTTATAAGAATCCTAAGTTAGGTTGGAAGTTCCTGATCTGTAGTTGGTACAAAAGGGGGTGCCCCTCCTTGTAGGGTTCAGGGTCGCATCCTGTTCCTGCCCCAGCCACCCGAACATTGCACATCCATGCTTTTCAGCTTTTGCTGCCCACACTTCGTGGGTCTTTCTTTCAATCTTCCCAGCAAAAACACGCCCAGGAGCTTAGCGCGGCCCCCTAAACCCTAACCCCTAAACCCAAAACCCTGAACCCTAAACCCCTAACCCCTAAACCCTAACCCCTAAACCCCTAAACTCCTACACCCCTAAACCCCTAAACAGGCCTTGCGAAGAAAAACGACCGAATGAGCAAGAGCCGAACACCTCAGCCCGTAGTCCCTTTATTGTGAGCCTCAAACCTTTAGCTTACTTCTCCAATAACCAAGGGGAGAAAAGGGTTAAACTTTACTATTCCAACTAAATAAGGAAACTCAAAAAGCTTAAAGTTCAACTAAAGGCGAAGTAAGTTAGTGCCCAAGGCCTAAACAGCACCAACTCTAAATTCGAATCCCCCCTGCATGCAGAAGAACACATGAATCGAGCACCTTCCATTGCGGGTGATAAAAACAGTTTGCGGCAACATGCCCAAATACAAAGCGGATAAACTGGAGGATGAAGATATCAGGGTTCATCGAATGGGGGGGTGGGGGTGGGGGGAACCCTAAACCCTAAACCCGAAACCCTGAAACCCCTGATAAACCTGAACGCGGAAGCCTTAGCTCCTTCGCCTTAAGCCCCAGACCCATACACGCCAGCACCCCCCATAGCTCCTAAACTCCAAGCCGCTAAGACTTCAACCCATGGAGCCCTCGGCCCGCATTCCGAAACCCTAATGCCCTAAGACCCCAAGCCACAAACCCTAAACACCTATGTAAGCCCCAAACACTCTTCGGCGAGGGGGGTCCTTGTCACTTTGCTCAAGGATCGAGCCGCTGTGATGTGAGCTGGTGCAGAGGCGGTTCATGGGGTCTCGGGTTTCGGGCGGAGGGCTATAGGTTTGTAGTGGCATATCGCTTTGGCGTGTGCAGGTTCTTAGGGCTTCAGGGGTGTAGGAGTTGAGGGGCCTGGGGGTTTAGGGTTCAGGGGTTGGGGGTGCAGGGGGTCTAGGCTGGGAGGTGGGTGGGCGGGGGAGGGGCAGGGGGGGCGGGGGGGGGGCTGCAGGATTTGTCTTTTGTTGGGTTGAGGCTTGGCTTTAGTTATATTTGTTGTTGTTGTTGTCTTACAATTCCTTTTTCGGCAGATCGGGCAGGGTGGCATTTAGGGCTTTCAGGGCAAGGGCTTGAGGTCTATTTAAGGCCCCTTTGATTTCGGGTTTGGGCCGCAGGGTTTGGGGTTTCTAGGGTGCAGCTTATGTTGAAGGGCCTAAGCAACCCTGAAGCCCTGAACCCTATGCCCTAAATCCGGAACAGGAAATGCGATGGGCTCTCTAGGTCTTACGGTCTGAGTCTGAGTCTGTAATAGGGTGACATAAGTCAGTGGCTGTAGACGGATGTGCGTTGGATGAAGTTGGCATCAAGGGAATTGCCAAAAAAACTGCGTGCAGCAAGCTCTCTACGCTCGCCCTTCGCTTCTGCCAGGCGGTCCAGTTCCTGCGTGGGAAGACCGTGTCAGCAGAACTTGGCTGCACTTAGGAGGGTAGCTAAAACTTAAACTTTTAGCTGCCTTCTTAAGAAGCCCAATAAGCCCAAAAAGGCTAAGGATCTAAAGTTACAGTAAAGAACCACAAAGAGAAGATTGGCTGATGGGGAGGATGAGCTCCACCGACATACCCGGGCCGTCCATTCCGGAAATTCCAGCCTTGCCCGCACAGATCACACACGACATTCGGCTTCGAGCACACTTTTCTCTGGAGCAATTAAGGCTTAAAACCCCCGAAAAGGCCCTGCTACGTGGTGCTGTCCAAACCCAAACACACCCAGAAAAGAGAATACCAAACTTAAACCCGCAACTCTAAAACCTAAACCCTAAAAGCCTAAACCCCAAAACCCTAAACTCTCAACCCTAACCCTAAACCCGAAATGAACCCTCAACCCTAAAACTTACATCTTAAACACCTTTTGGGAATTGCAGCTGGAGGTGAGTTGAGGGACCCCAAAACAACCAAACCCGCCGTGGCCTTACAAGCCCTATGAACCCGAAAAAAACACTCCCAAAAAGAGACCCTAGCATTAGAGAACGCTCATGTGGAGAACTACCCGTATATCTCTCTGTATGTATGTATAGATATATGTATATCCTTCTAGCACTTGGCGTCCGTGCAATTTTGGGACTCCGGGCTACAAGCCCTAGCCAAAGCCAAACCCCAACCCTAAACCCTAAACCCTAAACTAGGGTTTAGGGGTTTAGGGTTTAGGCCCTAAACACCCTAAACCAAGACCCTAAACCCTATTTTAAGGGTCCACGTGCCTATACAGTATGTATACTTGGGCCCGAAAGCTAATCAGGCCCAAGTATGTAGTCTGTAGGTACATGAGCCCTAAACCCTGAACCCTGAACCCTAAACCGTAAACCGTAAAACCAAAACCCTATATAAACCCCCTGAACCCTGAACCCTGAACCCTGAACCCTGAACCCTGAACCCTGAACCCTAAACCCTAAACCCTAAACCCTAACCCTAAACCCTAAACCCTAAACCCTAAACCCTAACCCTAAACCCTAAACCCTAAACCCCTGGTTCAGAGTGCGGTGCGCCTGCTGCCATAGAGCACCTCATGGAGTGACCTCGCGAAGGGCTCTCTGTCTCTGTCTCTTGCTGCGGAGGCTTTAGGGTTTAGGGTTTGGGGTTTGGGGTTTGGGGTTTAGGGTTTAGGGTTTGGGGTTTAGGGTTTAGGGTTTAGGGCTTGGGGTTTAGAGTTTAGGGCTAGGTGTAGTGTTTTGGGTTTCAGGTTTGGGGTTGAGGGTTTAGGCTTTGGGATTGAGGGTTTAGGGTTTGGGGTTTAGGGTCTGGGGCTTAGGGTTTGAGGTTTGGGGTTCGGGGTTTAGGGTTGAGGGCAGGGTTTGGGGTTTCGGGTTTGCGGTTTGCGGTTTAGGGTTGGCTTTGGGGTTTAGGGTTTGGGGTTTCGGGCTCAGGGTTTGAGAGTTTGAGGGTCTATGGTTTGGCTTTGGGGTTCAGGGTTTGGCTTTGGGGTTTCGGGTTTAGGGTTTGAGTGCTTGACGGCCTTGTGACCAGGGTTAGGGTTTGGGGCTTTGCCAAGAGCCCGAAATCTGCCAGGCACTAAACGCCAAACCCTAAACCCTAAACCCTAAACCCTCAACCCTAAACCCTCAAATTTTCCAAAAGCACCAAGATTTGCCTTGCACTGGGCGCTGGGGTGTCGTTGAGCTTGCCCTCAGGTGCAGCGAGTTGCAGCACCTGGGATGCAGGGCTGGGGTTTAGGGTTTAGGTTTTGGGTTTAGGGTTTAGGGTTTAGGGTTCAGGGATTAGGGTGCAGGGTTTAGGGTTTTGAGTTTAGGGTTTTGGGTTCAGGGGTTAAGGTGTTGGGATTTAGGGGTTCTTGGGCTGTTAGGGGTTTGGGTTTAGGAATTTGGGTTTGTGGCGCGCAACCGCCGAAACCCTAAATCCCCAGACATCACAGCAAGTACCCAAAGAAAGGCACAGATAATTAAGCCTAATTAAGGTTATATACGGGGGAACCGGGGAGGGGGGGGGGGGCAGTATAGAGGGGGTCGTAGGGGAACCCATGAATCCTAGACAGCCAGGCGAGAGTATGAAGCAGCTGGCCATAGACATCACCTCGTTGCCAGGCTCAACCTACAACCACTAATTATACCGGTAAACCCTAAACCCTAAACCCTAAACCCTGTTCCCTAAACCCTAAACCCTAAGTTGAAACCCTACGCCCTGAAGCTCCACATCTGACTCTCTGATGTTGTTGGGTTTTCTTTAACGCAGAGCTTTCAAACTTGAGCCTGACAAACTGAACCCTGCCAACTTTGGGGTTTAGGGTTTAGGGTTTAGGGCTTGGGGTTTAGGGTTTGGGGTTTGGGGTTTAGGGTTTAGGGCTTGGGGTTTAGGCTTTGGGGTTCAGGGGTTCAGGGGTTCAGGGGTTCAGGGGTTCAGGGGTTCAGGGGTTCAGGGGTTCAGGGGTTCAGGGGTTCAGGGGTTCAGGGGTTCAGTGGTTCAGGGGTTCAGGGGTTCAGGGGCGGGGGAGGATGGTCTGGTAGATCCCATTCTCCAGGCCAGGCGCGACCGGAAATGGAAGCCTCAGCAGGGTTCTGGGGCTTGGGATGCAGGGGTTGAGGGTTTCGGTTGACATCGACAGCCCTGGAAGCCCTAAAGCCCAAAAGTCTAAACCCCCAAGAAAGCCCTAACTCTCAACCCTACAACCTTGGAATCCTACAACCGTACAACTTTACAACCCTACAACCCTGCAACCCTGCAACCCTAAACCCTAAACCCTAAACCCTAAACCCTAAACCCTAAACCCTAAACCCCAACCCACAGGGAGGCGGGCTTCGGGGTGCTAGGACCAGAGGCCTCAGGGCTTGCATAGGGTTTAGGGTTTAGGGCTTAGGGTTTAGGGTTTAGGGCTTAGGGCTTAGGGTTTAGGGATTAGGGATTAGGGTTTGGGGTTCTTGAATTGGGGCTTGAATTGGGGCTTTCATTGGGGTTGAACCAGGACACCCCTCGACCCCTAAACCCCCTAACCCGAACCCGAAGCCGCCCTCAAGCCCTCAACCCTGCAAAGCCCTACCCAACCCTACTCGATGTTCCGGAGCCCTGCGAACCCCTTCTAAACTCTACTAAACCCTGAACCCCAAATCCTGAACCGGTAGACCCGAAAGCCTTAAAAGCCAGAACCCTAAAACCTAAAACCTAAAACCCTAAAACCCTAAACCCCTAAAACCCTAAAACCCTACAACCCCCAAAACCCTAAACCCTAAAACCCTAAACCCCCCAAAAAGCCCCGCAGAGGCGAAGACCCCCTGGGGCCCCGCACATGTTGCGGATGGCGAACATGTTGCCCAGGTGCATCTTGAAACGCTGCACCTAAGCCCAGGTAAGTGGCAATCTTGGCCGCTGAGCCCTCAGGCCTAAACCCTCAACCCTAAAACCCTAAACGCAAAACCCTAAAGCTCTCAAGCCTAAGCCCATAAACCCTAAAACCCTAAACCTTAAAACCCCAAAACAGCCCCAAAACCTATACACCCTGAACTAGGGCGGAGGGTTTTGCGGATTACCCAAACATAGAGAAGCCACGCGGCTCGACGCTTTTGTCAGAGATTTTTTTGGAGACTCTCAAGAGGAAGGCTTAGGGTGTACAGGATTTAGGATTGAGGGTTTAGAACTTAGCATTGCAGCAGGGATTGGGGGTTCGGATTTAAAGGGTGTTGACCCTGAACCCTCAACCCTAGGGTGTTTCGGGTACTTGTTTACGTGGGAGGCAGCGTGTTGCGTCCGCGGCGCTTGTTGTACATCTTCGTCGTCCAGTGACAGCGGCATGTCCTCTCAGTTGGACCAAGGCAAAAGGTTTAGGGTGTAGAGGGCTCAGGGGTTTAGAGCTTAGGGTATACCCTAAACCCTGAACCTTAAACCGTAAATCCTAAACAGGTCGTCGGCGTCAAGAACTGCCGGGTTTGAAGGCAGCGGCCACATGCCATAATCACAGGGGGCAAGATCAGCTGCTAAATGCTTCAGTTTCCTACCTCGAAACCCTACTCAGCCCTACAGCCTAAATCCTTAGGTGCGCGTAATAAGAAGAGAAACGAAGAGAAAAGCCCCAAAACATAGGAAAAATAGGGGCTTTTCATACGCTTCTTTTGTTTCGTTCATAATAATACTTCGGCTTCGTGCTTTACTGCGTGCATTACAAGCCTTATATTATTTTTCTCTTCACCTTTTATTATAATAATACGGGAGATTGGTTGACGCACCACAGTTCTTGTCTTCACGTCTTTTAAGGAAATGATTGGTGAAATGAAACCCTAAACCCTAACTCAAGGGACGAAAGAAGGGACCCTTCCAAGGGACCTTAGGGGTGATTTAAAGAGGGTTATGTAAAGCGGAACAAGATTAAGGGTCCCTTCTAGGTCCTCTTACCCCTTAATAACCCCAACCTTTTAAAGGCCTAACCCTAACCCCTCAACCCCAAAAATGTGAGGCTTGGCCTGAACCCTAAACTCTACCCTAAACCCCTAAACCCAAACCCCTAAACCCTAAACCCCTAAACCCCTGAACCCCTGAACCCTAAACTGCAACCTTTTCAGGCGCGGCAAAAAACCCATGGCCCCACATGCCTCGGCATCGATGTAGCCCGCAAGCTTCCTGGAGGGGATTAGGGTTTAGGTTTAGGGTTCAGGGTTGAGGGGATAGTGTTTGGGGCTTAGGGTTGAGGATTGAGGTTTAGGGTTCAGGGCGTATAGGTGTTAGGGTGTAGGGTTCAAGGCGTAGGGTTTAGGACGTAGGGTAAAGGGTGAATGAAGAACAACCTTTTCCAAATTAACCCAAGCTTCATGTAGGTGCGCAGGAAGAGGCTGAACTTCGTTCTGTCACCTGGCCAACACGGATTCTAGGTTGGGGTTTAGGATTTAGGGTGTAGGGTTTAGGATTCTTGGTTTAGGGTTCGAAATTTCGTTTTTTTTTGGGGTGTAGGGTTGAGTTGTTGGTGCTTAGGGTTTGGGCTGAGGGATGGCTCAAAAAGGAAGGCTTTTGACTCAAAATGCAAGGGGTTTAGGGTTTAGGGTTTAGGGTTTAGGGTTTAGGGTTTAGGGGATTCGGGGATGAGGGGTTAGGGTTTACGCGCTTCAGTTGTTGCTAGTGTGTGGTTGGTTTAGGGTTTAGGGTTTAGGGTTTAGGGTTTAGGGTTTAGGGTTTAGGGTTAGGGTTTAGGGTTTAGGGTTTAGGGTTTAGGGTTTAGGGTTTAGGGTTTAGAGTTTAGGGTTTAGGGTTTAGGGTTTAGGGTTTAGGGTTTAGGGTTTAGGGTTTAGGGTTTAGGGTTTTGGGGCTAGGGTTTAGGGTCCAGTCTGCTGGCAAAGCTGCAGGTTAACCTTAGGGTTGTGTATTCCTTGTATCCCCAAAAGGAACCCAATATATGATTCAGCCCCGGCGGGCCCCCCCCCCCCTCCCCCCTACCCCCCCCCCCCCCCCAATGGTACCCCCCCCCCCCTGTGGTGTGGTTGGGGGTTGGTTTTAGGGTTTTAGGGTTTAGGGTTTAGGGTTTAGGGTTTAGGGTTTTAGGGTTTTAGGGTTTTAGGGTTTAGGGTTTAGGGTTTACGGTTTAGGGTTTTAGGGTTTAGGGTTTAGGGTTTAGGGTTTAGGGTTTTCCCCGCGGATGGGGTACTAAGATGATCCCCCCCCCCCTGTGGTGTGGTTGGGGGTTGGTTTTAGGGTTAGGGTTTAGGGTTCAGGGTTTTAGGGTTTAGGGTTTAAGGTTTAAGACTTAAGGTTTAGGGTTTAGGGTTAGGGTTTAGGTTTTAGGGTTTAGGGTTTAGGGTTTAGGGGTTTAGGGTTTAGGGTTTAGGGTTGAGGGTTTAGGGACCGTAGAGTATACCATGGGGGGGGGGGGGGGATACCATGGGGGGGGGGGGGGGGGGGGGGCCCAGGACGCTCGACGCTGAACCATATATACGCCCATGACAGCAATATAGACCCTGCTTCATATGGAGGGAGAAGGGTTTAGGGTTTAGGATTTCATGGATCCGGGCCCGAAACCATGGAGACTGGTTGAGGTTGCCGGCAGCGTGGCAGCAGGGACAGGTGTAGGTCTTCGAGTTTCAGTAGGGTTTGTTTCGTAGAGTCGGGTTGTGTGGCATAAGGGCCTAGGGCTTGAGGTACAAGCGGAGCGATCAGTACCCTTGAAGGGAGCCTCCATCCAAGCAGTCTTCAACCTTAGCCCTAAACCCTACAACCTAAACCCTTAATAAGCACCAAAAGCCCTCAACCCCAAACCCACTGGGGTCCTTATAGGAAAGGGTTGGCGTTGGACATGAGCCCAGGAATCCGACATTGGGCAGGCAGGAGTATGTCAGCTCTTCCCCCTAATCTAAGGGAAGTTGCATGGGCCCTTAATATGGTGCCTTACCTCCCTTAAAGGGTTCAGAAGCATGTGCCCTTGGGTTTTAGAGGGTATAAAAAAGGAGTGTCCCCCCTGTAAGGGGCCATACTAAGGGACCATGTGCCATTAGACCAAGTGTACCAGCACAAGGAATAGTATGGTCGCTTCATTCGCGGACTTGGGCGATGCCTTGGAACAAAACCTGCTAAAAAACTCTGAGAATTTTATTCCGTGGTTCCGCCGGTCTTGGGGTCATTGCCAAGGCGGAAACCAAATCTTGCTCGGTCATGGCGCGGATGGTCGTTTCAAATGCATTCATCGGGTCATGCTCGGTAAGGGGCGAAGGAGGAATAGATAGCCTCGCCTGCCTGCTCTACGCAGGCCATGGGGTCAATGACGCTGGTCTTCTTCTTCAACTCGGTCATGACATTGGACCTAAACCCTACTGTTAACCCTAAACCCTAAACCCTACGCCCTAAACCCTACATCGCTCTTGTTCGTCGGAGCACCACTAAGTGCCTTCACCTGCAAACGGAGTAGCGGTTCCTCGCAGGTTTAGGGTTTAGGGTTTAGGGTTTAGGGTTTAGGGTTTAGGGTTTAGGGTTTAGGGGCAAGCAGATATTGGCTCCCGGGCTTGGAATGTGGAATTGCCGTGCGCCCGCAACCGTAAATCCAAAATCACACACTAAACCACCCCCCCTTCCTCAAACCCTAAACCCAGACCCCTAAACCTAAACCCTAAACCCTAAACAATAGACCCCATAACCCTAAAGCCTACACCCTACAACCTAAACTGTAGCAATCATGTCTGACTGGACCCATCTTCTGGTCCTCCGGACTCCTGCATGCAACACGACGAAGCAAGAGCGCAAAAAAGCACAGCCTTAAGAGCTACCAATTGCTATGTTTTTTGGGATGTTCCCCCGTGTACGCACAGTCCTTAACATAGAATTATAGTACCCCCCCCCCCCCCCCCCCATTGCAATCCCTACCAAGGGCTGCTAGTCTAAGGAGGAACATACCAAGTCATAACCAACCCCAGAGAGTCTATTTGTAGCACCATTATGGAATTATGTACCCAAAAACCATACTAGATAGGGTTTGTGGGTACCAATTTCCATAATAGTGCTGCAAATGGACCCTCTGGGAATTCTTATGTTCTTATAACCCTAGCCACCAAACAGTGCGAGAACATGTGAGTCCGGAAGTCCAAAAGCGACGACAGTGTCGCATTTCGCGAGCCCAGGCGTCCGAAAAGCGATGGCAGTTTCGAGATCCAAGAGTAACCTAGAAATAACAAGGGTGCCCTTTTGGGTTAAAGGGGCTTATGAGCGAGCCTAAATCCTAAACAAAGGGAATAAGCGCCTACTCTGGGTCCTAGGTTTCAAGGCCCGCGCCCTGGCGCGAGCGCGCGACAGCAAGCCTCGAGAGAAAACACCCATCCGTGGGGACGAAATGAACCCTAAAAGGGTTTAGAGTTCATATACCCTATCAAAAATTTTAGGGTTCATGAACCTGAGTAGGAATTATAGTAGTATAGGGTAGATGGCCCCAACTTTAGGATTGATTTCGGCCCCAAGGATGGTCCTCAGCAGGTGCCCCGCTCCACGCACGTTCCGCGTGCGCCCCAGCCGATCTAGACCTCTGTTGTCCTATATGCTGGAACCCGAAACCCTAAACCCTAAACCCTTTACCCTTGCCCTAAACCCTAAACCCTAAACCCTAAACCTTAAACCCTAAACCTTAAACGCTAAACCCTAAACCATAAACCCTAAACCCTATAAACCTTTAACCCTAAACCCTACACCCCATAGCGTGGACACACTGCTTGGGGGATGAGCTGCCCATGCAAACTCAACAGGCCAGCGGCATCCCGGGCTGAGGGCAACTAACCCTAAGCCCAAAACCCTGACCTTCCTGCAATCCCAGACCCTACCAAGTTGCACGTACAAAAACACATGGGCACTTCCTCTCGAAATCAAGTTCTCTGTTTTTGGGAGCACCCAAGGGACCATGTTCGCCCAAACCCTAAGCCCCAAGCCCTAAACCCTAAGCCCTACAGTCAAGCAAGACTTAGTTGCTAAGCTCATAACCCCCCCCCCCCCCCCAAAAAAAAAAAAAGTGTACACTTTCAGTTCTATAGGAGATTAGAGTACCCCAAAAAGCATAAAGTGTACTCATCAGCTACTAAGATACCCTAAGCCCTAAACCCTAAACCCTAAACCCTACACCCTAAATAGCCCTAGTTTAGCGGCCCTGAGCGCTTTAGGACTCCGGAGCTTGCCTGACTAGTTTGGAAGGGAGGTGAGAGCCCAGCAAACGAAGCCCCGACTCCAACCCTACAATCCTGAAGCCCAAAACCTTCGGCCTTTAAAACCGGGTTTAGGGTTTAGGGTTTAGGGTTTAGGGTTTAGGGTTTAGGGTTTAGGGTTTAGGGCTTAGAGTTAAAAACTGGAACCCTGAACCCTTCATCCCAAAGCCGATCAAAAACTTCAACGCTCCTCCACCGGCCCAAGTTTGCCGCACCTGTTGCGACAACGGAGTTCAGAAAGGGTTTGGCCTATTTTGCGGGTTTCGTCGTCCCATCACAAAGACTGTCCTCTATGGCTATTTCGGGGGGCGGGAAGGAGAGGGAATCTCAGGGTGCGCATGAAAGAAATTTTACTTAGTAGGGTTTAGGGTTTATAGGAATTGTCGGGGACCACAGAATGCATTCAGAAAGGATTTCAAGAGCATCGGGTTTCTGCAGGTAGGCACCCCGTTTTGCAAAGTATAGAAGTTTAAGCCAACATATACAAGTACTCCCCAAACCCTAAACCCTAAACTCTAAAACCCTTAACCCTATAAACCCTAAACCCTATACAAGTAGTACTTATAAAGGCCCCCGCCGTGCCTTCCTCTGGCTGGTTCTTAGTAGGGAATGAGGGAATGAGGTACCCTCTACAATCCCTTAAATGGCACGTATAGGTAGGGCCTAATTCCCTCCTTCCCTACTGAGAACCAGGGGGTCCTTGAAATGAAGGAACCCTAAACCCTAAACCCTAAACCCTAGACCCTAAATCCTAAACCCCAAACCCTAAACCCTAACTGACGGTCCGGCCTGTAGCTGCCAAGTCCTCGTCGTCATAGTCCTCCCATATTTTAAGTGTAGGGTTTGGGTTTAGGGATGTTTAGGGTTGGGGTTTAGGGTTTAGGAGTGAGACATGCATCCTGCACCCGAAACCCGGGACGCTGGAACCCGCCATCCCCAAACACTCCACAGCCTCTTCTTCCGCCACAGCGACCTGGATCCGAACGCGTGCCCTGAACCGCCAACCCGCTTAAAAAAGGATTTATAGCACCCCTTATATTATAATCCCTACTTCGGACTGCTCGTATAAGGGGGAACGATCCCGGCTCTCTGGGTCATGAACTCCCCTATATAACCCTATATGTACCTTATTTAGTCCCTACATACCTGAGTAGCCCCCTAAATAACCCATAAAGAACCCTAAACCCTAAACTCTGAAGAACCCCTAAAGTCCCTTATAAGGCGTAGGGCTTAGTTTCGTCATGGCATAGGGGGTGTTGAAGGTGAACTGGGCTTGGAACTTTTGACTCGAGACTGCCTATGCTCATGCTCCAGGCTCTGCAGCTGCCTAACCCCTGAACCCTAAACCCTAAACCCTAGATCCTAAACCCTAGACCCTAGACCCCAAATCCTAAACCCTAATCGCTAATCCCTAAACCCTAAACCCTAAACCCTAGCCCTCAACCCTAAGCCCTAAACCCTATAGCCCTGAACCTGTCCACCGAAAGCCTTCAACTTGAAAACCTGAAGCTGAAGGACCCAGCGCCCGAACCCCCCGAACTCTAAACCCTTAACACAGAACCCTAGATAGGGTTTAGGCTTTAGGGGGTTGAGGGCTTGGGGTGTAGGGTTTAAGGCATCCCAAAACTCCCTACTCTCCTGTTCTGGATTCTGAGGTGTGCAGAACTCGGCACTAGCAAAGTTGAAGAAGGCTCTCCCCGGCCTAACCACTGCTTCTGAGGGCGGCGCAAAACACAAACGAAACAAGCCAATCAAACAACACAAGCTGGACACGACGACATGCCGAATGCATGACGCCGAAAGTTGCTCAGGTGAACGCCCCAGACCTCAGGAATAGAATTCGGAACCCCCCTCCCCCCCCCCTCCGCCCCACAATAGAAAAGCTTAACCCGAAATTACTAAAGCATATAAACACAAACCCTAAAGCCCTAAACCCGAAAGCCTATAAACCCTAAGCCTAAACCCTAAAGTCTATAAACAACCCTAGAGCCCTAAAACCCTAAACCCTAAAGTCTGTAAATCCCTCAACCATAAAACCTAAAGTCTATAACCCTAACCGCCCCCCCCCCCCCCCCCCCCAAAAAAAAAAAAAAAAGAAACAACAAAACAAACATACTGATAACAACAATATATAAATGTTTATAAACATGTACAAAAGAAGCTACACCCGTAAACCCGAAAGTCTTTCAACGACCTGGGCGTGCCCCACTTCTTAACATAAACCCTAAACCCTAAACTCTAAACCCTAAACCCTAAACCCTAAACCCTAAACCCTACGCCTACACCACCTCAACCTGGGAGCCCCGCTTCTTCCAGGAGAGAGGACAGCTGTGGGAAGAACCGCCCCTCGGCGAAGCCAACGCCTTTCAGGTCGGTTGCTGTTTACGGCTTAGGGCTTAGGGTTTAGGGCCTAGGGTTTAGGGTTTAGGGTTTAGGGTGTAGAGTTTCGGGTTTAGGGTGTAGGGTTTCGGTAGATGGCAGAGAACTTAAGTGTAGAGATGTGGTTCTTCGAAAGCGGAAGCCCTTGAAGGCCTGCTGCCCCGCAACCACTCCCGCCCCCCCACCCCGAAACCTCAAAGCCGAAGCCCTAGACTCCAAACCCCAAACCCCAAAGGGTTTAGGGTTTAGGGTTTAGGGTCCTAAGGCCTAAACCCCAAAACCAAAACAGAACAACACCATCGGTGGCTCCCCGCCCATTCACCACCCACGCTCCCCCAGCCCCAAGGCTCAAGGAACCTTCACTCAACCGCAGAGCCTATGTTGAACTCTTTTGGGCTTAGGGCTAGGTTTAGGGTTTAGGGTTTAGGGTTTGGGGTTTGGGGTTTGGGGTTTCGGGTTTAGAGCTTAGGGTTTGGGGTTTAGGGCTTAGGGTGGTGCAAGGGCCCATATTCCCCCCCCTATAAGGCCTTCATGAGCCCAAGTAAGCCTTCAACTTGAATGTAAGCTGGGCACGGAACCTTAGATAAAAGCCCTACGCCCCTGAACCCTCAGCTAAACCGCTAATCTAAACTCCTACACCCCTACACGGCTAAACCCTAAACGCCCTTACCCCCCCCCCCCCCCTTGCTTTGGGTTCTTCATTAAACAACTCTGAACACTACCTTCTGAGAGAGGGTTGCGGGCTTCGGTTTAGGGCTTAGGGCCCTAAACCCTAAACCCTAAACCCTAAACCCTAAACCCTAAACCCTAAACCCTAAACCCTAAACCCTAAACCCTAAACCCTAAACCCTAAACCCTAAACCCTGCGACCAGGCCCCCCGGCCCAGCGGCTGCAGTCGCACCATGGGCTTGGAGGTGCGGGCGAAGAGGAACCAGCTGACGGGAACCTTCAGTCTCAGGGTAGTTTAGGGTTTAGGGTTTAGGGTTTAGCGAGGCCTTGCAAGCGAGGGTGTCCAATAAAAGGGATCATGACTTAGAAGCCCGGAAACCCAAATCCCAAACCCCAAACCCTAAACCCCCCAACCTAAAAGCCTAAACAACACCCTAAACCGTAAACCCCCAAAACCCAAACCCCAAACCCTAAACCCTAAACCCCCCCAAGGTTCTGCCTCGGCAGAGCTGTATGCCGGAAGGTCCAGGGTGCTTCCTCTCAGCTCGGCCTGGGCCAGCAAGGTAACGATGACGAGGTTTGGGGTTTAGGGTTTAGGGTTCAGGGATTAGGGTTTGAGGATTTAAGGTTTAGTTAGGGTTTGGGGTTCACGGGTTTACGGTTTAGGCTTTAAGGTTTTCAGGGTTGAGAAAGCCTTGGGCTTCTGGGGCCTGAGGGCTTGCAGGGTTTAGGATGCGTGGGTTTCGGGTTTAGGGTTTAGGGGGTAGGATTTAGGGTTTAGGGTTTAGGGTTCAGGGTCTAGGAGTCAGGGTTTAGGGTTTAGGGTTAGGGTTTAGTCTTGAGGGCTTAGGAGTCAGGGTTTGCAGGGCTCATGCGGTTTCCCTGGGTACCTGCCCCCCCCCCCCCATGAACCCCTCCGCCCCCTCCCTTGGGGCCGATGAGGCTTTGGCGTCTAGGCCTGTAGGGTTCCACCCTAAACCCTAAACCCTAAGCCCTAAGGATTGCCCAGAAAACCCTCACAGAACGGACTTTTCGGTCTTAGAGTTGAAGTTTTTGGGGGTTTATAGGTTTAGGGTGTGGGGATTCGAGCCTTGAGAATAACCTAGGAATAGAAAAGGGTGCCCTTTCGGGTTTAGAGGGGCTGAAAAGGGAACCTAAACCCTGAAAGGCCATGCTGCGCAAGTGTAGGGCTCAGGGTTCAGGGTTTATAGGCTGATGGTAATGCGACCCTAGACCTAAACCTAAACCCTAAAACCTAAACCCTAAACCCTAAACCCCAAACCCTAAACCCTAAACCCTTTTCTTGTTGCTTAAAGCTATGGGGGTTACTGGGGTTCAGGCACGCCGGAAGTTTCCAAGATACGTTTGATGGAATCGCAGGGCGCTACTCACTAAACCTTAAGACCCCGGTTGTAGGGCCCCAAACCCCAAACCCCAAACCCTAAACCCTAGGCCCCAAACCCTAAACCCTAAACCCTAGGCCCTAGGCCCCAAACCCTAAACCCTAAACCCTGAACCCTAAAGACTAAACCCTAAACCCAACAGAACGGCCAGAGTAACCCGGTGGCTGCCTTCACGCGCTGGACGCCAGGACCCACCTGCATTGCGAGTCACGACCCTGAACCCCAAAACCTCTTGGAACTCAAATTTGTGGGCTTAGGGTTTAGGGTTTAGGGTTTGGAGTTTAGGGTTTAGGTTTAGGGTTTAGGGATTTATCCCGTATACTCGTGGGTGTGATAATATAGGGGGTACTATTATCCCTACTAAGGACTATAAGGGCGAACATTCCCAGTTTAGGGCTTTGTTCACTTCTCTTTGATTCAATCTCTCCGGCAGGGGGCCGAGAAAAAATCTAATTGCAGAGGGTTCGGGTTTCACAAAAGCTTTCGTCTTGTTTGGGAAGGCCTGCTTTTCAAAGGGCTGCGCCTCTGCTGGACCTCTCCTGCGCCTCTTCTGGGCCTCGTCCAGTAGCCACTGTTTTTTTTTTTATGATTTAGGGCCAGAGTTGGGGAGGGGGGGGGGGGGGGCAGCAACCCAGAATTTTGCGAAAAGTGGGCGATTGCCTTTATGCTATACATGACCCTCTCAGTTTCCTGAGGCATAAATCAGTTTGGACTGGTCTCTTGGACCTATGTGTTCTTGAAAATTTGGGTTTTCTAGTCGAGCCGGGGGGGGGGGGGGGGAGGTATTCACGCCAAGTCAACATTATATAGCGTTTAGGGTAGTAGGTTTCTTCGTGCCATTTTATGACCTACATTAATTACGACCGAATGTTTTGGGGGAGGGGTGGGGGATGGGGTGTTACTTTTTCTCCAAGAACCAGAGAGAAAAAAAAACGGTAAAACTTGCATATTCCTACTAAGTAAGGAGACCCAAAAAGTTCAAAATTCAACTTTTTGCTAAGCAAGGCCAAGGGATGTATGCCTTCAGGCTTGTTTGGGGAAGGTTTCATGATGCTTAGGGTTTAGGGTTTTTGGGGTTTAGGAGGGTTCGGTTCAGTCAAAAGGTCTGATGATTGTGCTACGAGCCCTGGGGGCTCTTTTGGGGCTTTGCCCTTTGAACTTAGGGAGCTGATAACCTGGGGTTGAGTGTTTAGGGTTTAGGGTTCAGGGGTTTTCGGGCCAGAGGTACGCTTCGTCCAAGATGGCAGCCTGGAAAGGGTAGCTAGCCGGGGCTGCGGGCTTGAACTTCGTAAGGCCCCCCGTGAGCTGGACCAGGGCAGGAAGTCTCGGCATGCCAAAGCAAAAATACAAACGTCCCTGCAACCTAACCCTAAACCCTAAACCCTAAACCCTAAACCCTAAACCCTAAACCCTAAACCCTAAACCCTAAACCCTAAACCCTAAACCCTAAACCCTAAACCCTAAACCGCAACCTAACACCCTACGTTAGACCCGAAACTCCTAAATCCCTAAAGTGTACGGGGCTCGATCCCAAAACCTTTAAAGCCGAAACCCCGAACCCTAAAAGATAACCACCCCCAGCTTCGACCTTTGACTTGGCTAGTCTCTCTTCAAGGGGCTGCTTGGACCGCTTTCGCACATCATCCCGCTTCAGCCGACCACCTTTGCTCTGGCTTGTGGGGTCGGTCTCGTAGATCGTTGCCCGTTCGGACCGCAGGAAAATCCTGGCGTCTGGCAGGATGTCGGGCTCGGCTGCTCCCGATGCGGATGCGTCCTGCGAATCTGTTGGCCAAACCCCTGGCGCAGGCCTTACTGCCTCAGAACCCCGGATCGATTCAAGCGGTTATTCTCTGCTTCCCCCCTCGCAGATTTCGCGACTGCACCAATGGCAGCGCGTCGTGCTGGTCCGTGTGGTTCATGCTAACCCCAAACCCAAACCCTGAACCCTGAACCCTGAACCCTGAACCCTAAACCCTAAACCCTAAACCCTCAACCCTAAACCTTCTGGTGCCTCAGTGCTATCATCGATGTCCTCGGCCACCTGAAGCGCAGCAAGCCCTCCCTTTCGGATCCAGGGTTTGCGCGTTAAGGGGTTAGGGCTTAGGATTTCGGGCTTCGGGTCTAGGATTTCGGGTCCAACATCCGGGTTTATGGAGTTTAAGCAGTTGTTTATCGTTTGGGGGCTACACCCCGCTTCGAAGAGTCTTAGGCCATGCATGGCCATGAATTGAATGCTAGCTGCCATATGAAGAAACCCAATAAAGCCAAAAAGGCTAAGGATCTAAAGTTACAGTAAGGCACCACAAAGGCTTCAGGCTTCAGGGTCGCGGGTTTAGGGTGTAAGGTTTATCGGGCTTAGGGATTAGGACCTCTCCGACTCAAAGAACTCAACATCTTGGGTTTAGGGTACAGGGTTGAGGGTATAGGGTTTAGGGTTTAGGGCTGGGTTTAGGGTTTAGGGTTAGGGTTGAAGGTTGAGGGGAGACCTTTGCGCGGTGCCCATTTACCGGAGAAGGAGCTTTTCCGTGAGTTTTTTGGGGTTTATGGTTTAGGAAACTTCTTAAAAAAACTCAACGCTTTCAAGGGCTGTTTCGTGTCAAAACATCGAACCCTACCGGGACCTACCGAACACTCTAAGCCCTCCTAAAGCTGGGCAAAACAACTTCAAAAACCCAATATACCCTAAACTTATCCCTCACCCTAGGGTTCAGGGCTTAGGCTTTATAGGCTTTAACGGCTTCAGTTTATTCGGCTTGAGAAGCTTTATAGGCTTTGGGACTTACTTCTGTCTGCTCATTTTTTGTCCATGCTGAAAAAGTCGTATCAATGTAATGATTCCTGTAAGGTCTCATCGTACCTTTGAGTTTTTAAGGATAAAGCCAAGTACAGGCATCCTGGTTTTGTGTAATGCTGGCGTCGAGAATAAAAGAGGAGGGATACACGATGCATCCAGCCATAGAGCGACAAACTTCCCAGACAACCCTAAACCTTGGGATGTTTTTCCCCTTCTACTTACACTTCTTCTTTGGGAATATAACTGGGGTGTACTAGAAACCCGATTAAGGACTGTTAGTATAAGGGGGAACATCCCAAACTAGACAAACCCCTAACTTCGTAGATGCCTTACCGATGGAAAACAGGGCTTCGCGTCACTGCTTCGTGGGTCGTGTTCGGGAGAAGCATCTCAAGGACCCCAAAAGTACTCTCATAAAAGAACTCCAAGAAACCGGTTTGGGTTCTTAAGCCCTAGCCATAAACCCTAAACCCTAAACCCTAAACCCTAAACCCTAAACCCTAAACCCTAAACCCTAAACCCTAAACCCTAAACCCCACCTTTTCGTCTGCCAGCGGCGGCAAGGTCTGCGAGAAACTCACGAGACCACGGGTGCCTTGGAACCCAAAAGAACCAGGATAGAGTTTGGGGTTTAGGGTTTAGGGTTTAGGTTTAGGGTTTAGGGTTTAGGGTTTAGGGTTTGGGGTTTAGGGTTTAGGGTTTGGGTTTAGGGGGGGCCCAACTTGTGTCCTAAGACAGAAACACATGTCCAGCAAACCCGCTCGTCCAGAAGTTAACCGGGGCCCTGCACTTTTGGATAGGCAGCCGTAAACCCTAAACCCTAAACCCTTAGACCCTTAAACCCTTGAGCCCTTAAACCCTTAAACCTTTAAACCCCTAAACCCCTAAAGCCTTAAACCCTTAACCCAAAATGTCAGTTCAAGCTACTGTTTCAGGATACAAGGTATAAGATTTTAGGGTTAACGGTTGGGGTTTCAGGGTTCAAGGGTTTAGGGTTTTAGGGGGTTTAGGTTGCAGGGTTTGCGGCTTTGGACAAGGTTTAGAGTTCAGAGCACAAGCTTTGCACCCCCCCCCCCCCCCCCCCCCGCATGAACATGATGGTAAGCAAGAAACGGCATGCCTCAATGTGAGCATAAGAGTAGCTAATGGAAGCAGACGCGATGCCTTAAACTTGCAAGCCCCAAGAGATGTCTCTGGATACTTCAGGCGAGATTTCCCGAGCAGCCACTACTGCTGTACGAGCGCCTAACCCAGTCTGTACCCTGTGACTCTGGTGCATGCGGGCGGCCCGATCGCAAGAGATCGCCAACCTTCACGGACCAGCTGTGAAGTAGTGTTCAAGGATGACTTTGAAGAAATTAGGGTTTAGGGCTTAGGGCTTCCGTTCGGCGTCTTTGCATGAGGACCCTTGCCACTAAGGATTCGAAGTTTCCGGGCTGCACTTGTTAAAGTAAAAAACAAAGTGCAAGTTGAGTCACCCCCTCATGAGCTAGGTCCCGGAATGATCTAGGAATAGAGAGGGCATGGAAAGGGCATCCGTTTGAGATCAAGGACGGGCTGAGAAGGTACATGTGACCTGTCTACACTCACACACTTGGCCTTAGAACCTGAACCCGAACCCCGCAACACAAAAATCCTCAAACTGCTAAAACCCAAACCCCTACAACCCTAAACCGCAAGCACTCAACTTCCCACATTTTGTTGCACAAAGCGACCAGCCGAAGTGGGCTTGATCTAAATTATGGGCTTGGGAGGGTTTTAGCCCGAAACCCTAAACCCTAAACCCTAAACCCTGAACACCACAAGGGAAGCCTAAGTCCTGTTTTTCCCCTATTGCGCATAACTTGATCATGCTAGAACATATCTGGAGGTTTAGGGTTTAGGGTTTAGGGTTGAGGGTTTAGGGTTTAGGGCTTGTAAGGGCTTCGGGTTTAACTGCAGAAGGCCTTTTAAAAATGGCCAGAGCCCTCAATCCCGCGAGGACGGCGGTTTAAGGAAAAAGGGCTTCGGGGTTAGAAAATCAAACCCCTTTCTGGGGGTAATAAGGGACCCTAATACAGACTCCCGAATAGTAGGATCCCCTTATAAACAGGACCCAAATAAGGTACCCCTAAGCACTAGAACCCTAAACCTTAAACCCTAAACCCTAAACCCTAAACCCTAAACCCTAAACCCTAAACCCCCCATGTCACTGCCGCGGTTGCCCCCAAAACCCGGCGCAAGGAACCCTTTAAGCCGTCCCCCTGAAGAAGCTCCAACTGCAGCATCGTTGCACCGAAACTAGTCTTGGGGCCTAAACCCTAAACCCTAAACCCTAAACCCTAAACCCTAAACCCTAAACCCTAAACCCTAAACCCTAAACCCTAACTAGTCTTGGGGCGTAAAATATCTCCATGTTTAGAATACTCGAGAATGAGCATGGAGACTTCGGGGTGCAACTTACATGCGTCGAAGGCTTCTTTCGGGAGTTGCAGTTGCTGCCTTCACTGTCTGAGGTCCCTGAACCCTAAATCCTAAACCCTAAACCCTAAACCCTAATCCTAAACCCTAACCCTAAACCCTAAACCCTAAACCCGAAGGTCTAGGGAGGTTAGGGGCAGCTCATGGTGCTTGCGCCTGGTGCCTCCACCGCTGGAAAGCTGGCGGCCCTAACCTTTGCCGAGGTCGGCTTAGGGTTTAGGGTTTAGGGTTTAGGGTTTAGGGTTTAGGGTTTAGGGTTTAGGGTTTAGGGTTTAGGGTTTAGGGTTTAGGGTTTAGGGTTTAGGGTTTAGGGTTTAGGGTTTAGGGTTTAGGGTTTAGGGTCTAGGGTTTAGGGTTTAGGGTTTAGATTTCGGGTAGTTTCGGGTTCAGGGTTTAGGGCTGAGGGTGGGGCAGGCCAAGTAGAGTCCTCAGGCAAGGGAATCCTTTTGCTCACCGTCGCAGTGTGGCACGGAGGAGTCGGGTTTCTTAGTCGGGCAGTAACCATATTCTAATACGGGTACCCTTTTGTTGGCTACTTTACAAGGGAGCCCAGAACCAAAAAAAGGGTAAAGGGTACCACTGGGCTACGAAGGTTGAGGAAGTTTAGGATTTAGGAAGCTGCCGTGTCAAGGGACTAAAGGAGTAGCCCTAAGTCATAAGGGACCTTAGGGGTTGTTTAGGGGTTCTTTGAGGGCTACTTATAGGTATATGGACTATATAAGGTACATATAGGGGTTATATAGGGGAATAAGGTTAGGGGGTCCCTCATTATAACCCTTAACAGTGGCTACCCTTGCAATTCTTTGTACGTCTCAAACTGTTCCGGGTCGATAGTGGTCGGATTTTGTGGTGAATTATAAAAAAGCTGAGAGGCCCTCGCCTAGACCCTTGCCCCCCTAAACCCCTGAACAAAACCCCCTAAACCCTAAACCCCCCCCAAAAAAGGAACTGCACTTCGGGGGGGGGCTCGAGCTGGGGTTTAAGGTCTAGGGTTTGGGGGTTTAGGGTTAGGGTTTAGGGTTTAGGGTTTAGGGTTTAGGGTTTAGGGTTTAGGGTTTAGGGTTTAGGGTTTAGGGTTTAGGGTTTAGGGTTTAGGGTTTAGGGTTTAGGGAAAGCCCCGAAACCACAAAGTCCCTGAAACCCCCGAGACTGGGAGACTCCACCTCGAATAAGCCCAATAAGGTGTAGGGTTTAGGGTTTAGGGTTTAGGATTTAGGGCTTTGCGGATGAGGGCGGGTAGTTCCTTTTTGGGGGGCTTTAGGGTTTAGGGTTTTGGGGTTTAGGGTTTGGGGTTTAGGGTTAGGGGCTTAGGGGTTTAGGGTTTAGGGTAACTGGGGCTTTCATCGGCCCCTCAGCACCCTCAGCTCCTAGGGTGCCAGGCGAAATGCGGAGGGGCATGGCCGTGTCCTCGGCGTAGGGTTTAGGGTTTAGGGTTTAGGGTTTAGGGTTTAGGGTTTAGGGTTTAGGGCTTAGGGTTTAGGGTTTAGGGTTTAGGGTTTAGGGCTTAGGGTTTAGGGCTTCGGAGATTTGGCTTCCCAGTCTGAGCCGGTCTCTGTGCCGCTGAGCACGTGGACTCTGATTGAGAACCCGATTCTTGGGTTTGGGGTTGGGGTTTAGGGTGGCCCTAAACCCTAAACCCTAAACCCTAAACCCTAAACCCTAGACCCTAAACCCTAAACCCTAAACCCTAAACCCTAAACCCACACGCTATGTCCTCAGATCTCGAAATTCTGGACCCAGTGTCCTACCAAAGCTCACTGGCTGTCTGAAGCCCTCAACACAGCAGTTGGTGCAGCAGACCCAGGAAACCGTAAACCCTAAACCCTAAATCTTGGTTCTTAGTAGGGCTGAGGTGCCCGCTAGAACCCTTCGAAGGTTCTGTAGGGTGGTTCTCTGACATAGATGTTGATGCACCTCCCTAAACCCCAAACCCTAAACCCTAAACCCTAAACCCTAAACCCTAAACCCTAAACCCTAAACCCCAAACCCTACCAAACCCCAAACCCTAAACCCCAAATCCTAAACCCTAAACCCCGAAGCCTCTGGTACTTACTAGCAGAGTTTTCCAAGGAGGTCAATGCTGCCGAAGAAGCTTGCGGTTCAGGGTTTGGGGTCCGGGTTCAGGCTTGAGAATGGTGATTTTCCACACATGAACTCGCTTACCATGTGACCTCAACACGCCTATATTGTTACTTGGGGAAGTTTCCCCGGTAAAACGAAACCCTAAACCCTAAACCCTAAACCCTAAACCCTAAACCCTAAACCCTAAACCCTAAACCCTAAACCCTGAACCCTGAACCCTGAACCCTGAACCCTGTGCTACTTTAGGGAACGTTCAGGGGTCTCTGGCTTCATCCTGCTGACTCACTAGTTCTTAGAAGGGAGTGAAACCCTTAAAGGCGAGCCCTTATATATCTGACCCATGTGAAGACTTTACGCGGTTTAGGGTTTAGGGTTTAGGGTTTAGGGTTTAGGGTTTAGGGTTTAGGGTTTAGGTAACCCCAATTATAAGTCTACTTGTAACTTACTTAGAGGACTTCGGCATTCGGGGCCTCTACAAGTACAGTGATAATTGGGGTTATAAGTACCCTGAACCTCCACGTAGTAGGCCTTTAAACTCTGTAACCCCCGAAACATCTAAACCCCCCTGCAGGACCCTTAGCTTAATCCTGAACTCTGAAACCCCAAGCCCTGAGCCCTAAACCCCTAAAACACCCAAACCCCAAATGCCCCAAACGCCCCAAACCCCCAAACCCGTAGGCATCCGACGTTGTAGATTGTCAGGGCGCTTTTGATATTCAGCGTGCATGTGCCCTCTTTGAGGTCATGATCTGGCGTCCAGGGCTCAGGGTTGTAGGGTTTCAGGCCTAAACCCCAAAACCCTAAACCCCAGTAGAAGCCCTAAACCCTATAAACCCTAAACCCCAAACCCTAAAACCCTCCAGCAAAGCCCGAAAGCCTATGAACCCTATAAACCCGAAACCCTAAACCCTAAGGGCTGTGAGCTTCAGGCTTGTGAGATAACCTCCTGGCCCACAGCAGCTTCGCCTGCACAGCCTACCTCCCAAACAGACGATAAACTCAAGCCTCAACCCTGTACTTACGGGGTCCTCTACTGCCGAAGCCCTAAGCCCTAGCCCTAAGCCCTAAGCCCTAAGCCCTAAGCCCTAAGCCCTAAGCCCTAAGCCCTAAGCCCTAAGCCCTAAGCCCTAAGCCCTACGCCCTAAGCCCTAAGCCCTAAGCCCTAAGCCCTAAGCCCTAAGCCCTAAACCCTACTCCAAAAGCCTAAACTCTAAACCCTAAAACCTAAGCCCCGTCCATCTAACTGTAATCTGGTAAACCCAAACAAAACACCCTGGACTCCTTGAGCCTTTACACTTGTTACAGGGTTCGGGTCCTCGGCGGACCCCTGTGGGTTTAGGGTTTAGGGTTTAGGGTTTGGGGTTTGGGGTTTAGGGTTTAGGGTTTGGGGTTTGGGTTTAGGGTTTAGGGTGTAGGGTTTAGGGCTTAGGGTTTAGGGCTCTCTCTCTCTCTCTCTCCCAACACTATCGGTTTAGGGGTTGCAGGGCTTTGGCTTTCAAAAGCATTGCCTGTCAAGCCCAAAGCTCCCTGGAAAGCTCGTTTCGGGATTAGGGTTTAGGGTTTAGGGCTTCGGGTGTCGCAAAGCAATTCCCACTCGCCTGGCTCGACGAAGATAGGGCAGCCTTCCCTGGCTGTGGTTTCGCGTTTTGGGGTCTCTAGGGTTTAGAGTTTACTAGGATGGCCCTTAAAACCCTGTGAAATATATTCCTGCGCATGATCCTCTTTAATCCAATAAAGGAAAATGTGTATATAAACCCTAAACCCTAAACCCGAAAACCCTCGACCCTGAACCCTATAGACGCATACTGTCAGACACTGTCATCCACAGCATTCCCGTGCGTGTGGCCATGCCGCCCTAGATCCCTACGCCCGAACCCTCAACCGTAAGCCCTGAAGATGCTGGCCGAACCACGAGGACATATGCAAACCCAATGCAGAGGCCCTGCAGCCCAGGAAGCCCCAAACCCTAAGCTGAAGCAGTGTCGGCCGTAAGCGCAGAAGATCCTAAATGACTCAATCCCCAAAAACCTCCAACAAGGCCTAAACCCTAACCCCCAAACCCTACAAACCCTGAATTGCTCTGTGCATCCTGAACCCTGGCCCTGAAATCCAAAAGCCTCAACAGACGCAAGTCCACAAGCTGCGGAAGAAATCCGCATGCCTTATCGGATGGGGTTTAGGGTTGAGGGAATCGGGTTCCATGAAGAAAGCCCTAAACCCTAAACCCTAAACCCTAAACCCTAAACCCAAGGTCTCGTTGGGGATAGAAGGCCTAAAGACTAGGATGGCCTGCAAAACCCTCTGAACAATCATTATTCCTACATATGATCCTCTTAAACCCAATAAGAGAACATGTGAGATGTCCCAAGGGCCTGCCTCGAATAGTGTACACTTTCAACTAGTCAATTCCGACCCTAAACCCTAAAACCCTAGACCCAAAACTCTGAATAAACCCTAAACCCTAAACCCTAAACCCCAAGCCCTAAACCCTAAACCCTAAACCCCAAACCCTAAACCCCAAACCCTAAACCCTAAACCCTATAGAAGACCCCGGAGGCCTCATCTGATACGCTCTCGCCATGGCGTGATCCAGGTCGATGGTCACGTACTCCTCCGCGTCGATGTCCTGCGTGCTCGGTTCAGGTCAGGGTTCTGGGGTCTAGGGGTTTAGGGTTTAGGGGTTTAGGGGGTTTAGGGTTTAGGGTTTAGGGTTTAGGGTTTGGGGTTTAGGGGTTTAGGGGGTTTAGGGGGTTTAGGGTTTTTAGGGTTTAGGGTTTAGGGTTTAGGGTTTAGGGTTTAGGGTTTAGGGTTTAGGGTTTAGGGTTTAGGGCTAGGTTTAGGGTTTAGGGTGTGTGGCTTTTTGAGGATCTGGGATGTAGGAAGCACTAAGCCCCCTAAGAGTCACAGAGTTCGCACTGTCTTACAGTGACCACATTGATTGATTGACTGATTGCTTGATTTTTGATTGATTGATTGATTGACTGACTGCTTAGAGAAAGATTCCTGTTAAAAGGAAGGGAGACAATATGATCATCTCTCTAAAATATGGTCCCTTTTTGGGTCCCATAATGAGGCCCCCCTCATATTTAGGATACCCAAAAAGGGACCTAATTTTGAGAACTGACCATAAAACCCTAGCTATCCCTTAAAATAACCCCTATATGCCTAAGTAGCCCCTAAATAGCCCCTAAAGAACCCTAAACCCTAAACCCTAAACCCCGAATAACAAGCCTTAATGTTGTTGCCTGACCGTATGGAGAATTATTGAGTGGCTTGGGTAGCGAGTGGTTCCCAAGCTACGGCAAGACACCTGACCTGAAGAGGCGCTTCAATGGCAGGCACTTTCAGGCACTTTCTCCTTTCTTAGGGTTTAGGGTTTAGGGTTTAGGGTTTAGGGTTTAGGGTTTAGGGTTTAGGGTTTAGGGTTTAGGGTTTAGGGTTTAGGGTTTAGGTTTAGGGTTTGGGGTTTAGGGCCAAACTTATCATGACACAAGTGGCCCCAATGCCGATGTCAAGCAAACAACTGCAAACTCGACACTCGAGCGAATCCTCGAGTTCGGACACTTTCGTGAGGGGAGTTCCTAGGTGGATATTGTTATGTGAAGCTTCTTGCGGGGTAGCGCATGCCCCTAAACCCTAAACCCAAAAACACAAAAAAAAAACCAAAAACCCCAAAAAACCCAAAAAACCCCAAAACCCCAAAAACCAAAAAAACAAACCCAAAAAAAACAAAAAAGAAACCTAAAATCCCCCCCCAAAAAAAAAAAAAAAAACGCGAGTCGACAAAAAGGCTCGACCCTGGAAGCCCCTGAAAGGCCCACACGCGCAGGGTGGCTGAGTCAAAGGGCTGAAGGAGGGACCCTTACAAGGGACCCGTATAAGGGTTTAGGGTTTAGGGTTTAGGGTGAATATATAGGGGCTACTAGGGGAATAAAACTACAAAAGCCCTAAGGGACTGAAGAGAGGGACCCTTACAAGGGACCTTATGGCTTATTTTGGGGTCTATTTAGGGGCTACTTAGGTATATAGGGATTTTATAAGGTATATAGAGAGGTTGTATAGGGGAATAAGATGAAGGGTCCCTTCTAGCGGGTCCTCCTTAGACCCTAACTGAAGGTCTTTCCTCAACCCTGGAAACCCCAAGCACACCAATAGATTGGTACCCAGATCAGAGCACCCTCAAATACAGAGTATACCCCTCCCCTCAGAATCCCTAAACCCTAAACCCTATACACAAAACCCTAAAGGTAAGCCACACAGGCTTTTAGGGAGCTCCTGCAACCAGAACCTCACGTCCGCGAACTTCTCCTGCATCAGACTTGCATTCCCAAAACAAGGAGGGGGGGTGTCCTTCATAACCCCGATTCCTTGCCTATAGGAACACCCCCCAAGAAGGGTACCCCTGTTTCCGTACATCCCAAACTCCCAAACTCCCAAACCCTAAACCCAGGGTATTGGCACGGGCTCGAGTGTGCACGGCAGATAGCAAATCCAGCCTCGGAAATCAAGGGGCGGCCTGGCGACGCACATCGCGCGACCTCGATCCGACGATTTCCACGATGCTGCACCGAGTGAGCTTCATCTCCTCAATCATCTTTTTCATCTCTTCAATATGGATGTGGTCCATCTCGGCGTAGGCTCGCGTGCTGGCTTGCACTCTTGCAGGATCCTCCTAAACCCTAAAACCCTAAAACCCTAAAACCCTAAAACCCTAAAACCCTAAAACCCTAAAACCCTAAAACCCTAAAACCCTAAAACCCTAAAACCCTAAAACACTAAAACCCTAAAACCCTAAAACCCTAAAACCCTAAAACCCTAAAACCCTAAAACCCTAAAACCCTAAAACCCTAAAACCCTAAAACCCTAAAACCCTAAAACCCTAAAACCCTAAAACCCTAAAACCCTAAAACCCTAAAACTCTAAAACCCTAAAACCCTAAAACCCTAAACCCTAAAGCCATAAACCCTAAACCCTTCCCAGGATCGTCCGTGGGGTTTGGGGAAGCTCTGGAGCCTTGGGGTGTAGAGCTTAGACCCAGTATCCGTGTAGCTATCACCCCACATAAGCCCCTTAAGTACCCTAAGAGGGTGATAGTTGGGCTATGAGTAGAGGCTTAAGTTAGGGTTTAGGGTTTAGGGTTTAGGGTTTAGGGTTTAGGGTTTAGGGTTTAGGGTTTAGGGTTTAGGGTTTAGGGTTTAGGGTTTAGGGTTTGGGGTTTGGGGTTTGGGGTTTGGGGTTTGGGGTTTGGGGTTTGGGGTTTAGGGTCTAGGGTTTAGGGTTTAGGGTCTCAAGTACAGCTATAGTTGGGTTACTAAGTACCATGAACCTTCAAGTAGGGAGTTAAGGATCCCCCAAGACATCTGGGATCCTAAGCTACCCTGCCGCCTTCAGGGTTTGGGGTTTGGGGCTTGGGGTTTGGGGTTTAGGGTTTAGGGTTTAGGGTTTAGGAATGAGGGGTCCACCCTCCATTCAAACTTAGGGTTGGGGTTTGGGCTGAAGGTTTGTTTAGGGTTTAGGGTTTCCACCCCCCCCCCCCCCTTCAATCTTCCAACCAAGGCCCAGATGAGGCTGAATAATGACCTGATACTTCCAGGGACCTCATCAATGGTTTTGGGAGACCAAAACGACCCCCAAAAAATGGGTCCTCGGAAGTCTAGAGTGAGGGATTTTGGGGCAGGATGGCTGCGCAAGGAGGATGGTCAGACAACGGATGGTTCAAGGATTGCATCTTCATGAGTTCATGGGCGCGCAATCTTGCAACTTTCGCTGACCCTGAATGGCCAGAGGTTGAATCTGCCAGACTGCCAATGGAAACCTTCCACGGCATCACGGGTATTTCTGAGTATAGGGGCACCCCGAAGCCCTAAACCCTAAACCCTAAACCCTAAACCCTAAACCCTAAACCCTAAACCCTAAACCCCACACCCAAGAAGTAGTCCGAAACCCAGGAGGCCCAGATCGAAAAACGACATCGCGGAAGCCTAGGCGACCCCGAGCCCGAAACCCCCAAACCCTAAAACCGCCTAAACGTCCTAAACCCTAAACCCTAAACCCTAAACCCTAAACCCTAAACCCTCAACCCTAAACCCTAGCCCTAAACCCTAAACTCCCCCCAAAGGCCCCCCCCCCCCCCCCTGCAGACCCCCTGAGTGCAAGGCTGCTGAACGAAGGGGGTAGCTGCCGCTGCTCTCACCCGGCTCAAGGTCCACGGACGATCCTGGGAAGGGTTTGGGGAATAGGGTTTTGGTTTAGAGTTTAGGGTTCAGGAGCCCAGGAGGGGATTTCAGGGTTTACCTTAAGGCTTAAGGAGCCCAACAAAATTTCGGTTACCAAAGAATCCTCTAAGAGGTTTTCGAACACGAACCTACAAACAAGTGGGTGTTGGGTTCTTGGGGTTTAGGGTTTAGGGTTTAGGGTTTAGGGTTCTTGGGGTTTAGGGTTTAGGGATATATAAAACCTGAAGCCAAAACCGCAGGTGGTGTGGGCTTGCTGGGCTTAGGGTTTCGAGTTTTGGGACTCAGGTCTCGAGAATCGGGGGCTTACGGCCTCTGGGCTAAGGTAGGGTTTAGGGTTTAGGGTTTTAGGGTTTAGGGGTTAGGGTTTAGGGCTTCGGGTTTAGGGTTTCAGGCTTTTAAGGATGAAGTTCAGGTTTAAGGTTTAGGGTTTAGGGTTTAGGGTTTAGGGTTTGGGGTTTAGGGTTTCGGGTTTAGGGCTTAAGGTTTAGGGTTGCGGGCTTAGGTTGCGGGTGGGCGTTGGGTGTCATCGGGCACCGGAACCGACTCTTCGGGGGCGCAAAGGGCAAACCGGCAAAGCACCTCGCGTCCGAGGACCCTAAACCCTAAACCCTAAACCCCTGATCCTGATCCTAAGCTGCAAGGGCAAATAGTCACCTCTCCAACTTATATCGTCCCTTTTGGGGGGTTGCTTTTCTAAGGCGGCTTCTAAGGCGGCCCCTTATATTTAGGGTTCCCCCTTAAAAAAAGACCATCAATTCACTCTACTGCTGCCCCCTTAGGCGCCAGCGTGTCCGGAGCTGTCGCCACTTCACAGTGATCTTCACCTCAGCGGCAACCCCCCCCAGACCCTGCCATTGAGAGGAGTTTGGGGGGTTCAGGGATAACATGAAAAACCTGGCATAGAGTTTAGGGTTTCCCGAAACCGTGAAGCCCTGAACGTCTACACCACGGTTCAAAGTGTAGCTCCTTCTATCACTGTGGATTTCGCGAAGGCTTTCCGATCGGGCGTATGTTCTTATACCAGTCAAAACAGAGCTACCTTGGGGGCTTTTAGGGTACACCCCCCCCCCCCCACTATCTGAACTCCCCAAAGCCCCAAAACCAACACACAAAGCTTGCAAACCAAAAGCTCGAAGGCCTGTATCCCGTAGCCAAAAAACCCCACTCCCTAAACCCTAAACCCTAAACCCTAAACCCTAAACCCTAAACCCTTCAAGTAGGGGACTTCGAGTTCCTGACCCCGGCCCCGTTGTGGAACTGGAAGCGGCGTGCTGGCTGCAGGGGTCCCTCTCGCACCTGGCCAAGAAGGGGCCCTGTCCTTGAAGGTAGTTGAAGGTTTAGGGTTTAGGGTTTAGGGTTTCAGGGTTTCAGGGGTTTCAGGGTTTCAGGGGTTTCAGGGGTTTCAGGGGTTTCAGGGCTCAGGGCTAGGTGGGATAGAGGGTAGGTTGCCAAGAGGCACCCTGTAGGCGGGTGTAGGGTTTAGAAATTGAGGAGTAGAGCAAGTCTCCTGAGAAATCGGATCTTTGGGTGGCCTCTTCCACCTTGGTTCGATGGTTTGGGAGGGTTGCCGGTCGAAATAGATCCCATCCCTTACGCTGTTACGCCACCCGCCAGAAGTCAAAGAGAGACCCTAAACCCTAAACCCTAACCTCAGAAGCCGGGTTCACCCGAAATGCTGAATCCTGAAACTCCAAGGACCTACCCTAGATTCCAGAAGGAGCCCAACATTCAGGCACGTGAAGCCCTAAATCTTAGCCCTAGGCTTTGAATCCCACTCCACACGATTCTTTGGAAGTAGAGCTGAATATATAGGGTTTAGGGTCTAGGGTTAAGGGTGGTTTTGGGGATGCCTTCAAAACCCCAAACCCCTGCACCTTACATCCCAAGCCCTAAGCCCTAAATGAAAAGCCCTCTGAAAGGGCGAGCCCGCTAATTAAGCATTGAGACGAGCCAGCGACCCCTTTAAATCCAAGATGCGACGCCTCCAAGCATGACTGTCACACTAGAGCTTAAGGCTTTACTAAACCCTACACCCTCTACCCTAAGCCCTATAGGGTTAGGCTCATGCTGTCCGTCTCAGCCAGCACGACTCCCCCCCGAACCAGACCCTAACCCCCGAAACTTCCGCTGCGTCTCCCGCCCTCCCTCCCCTTCCCTTCCTAGGACAAAGGGCTTGAAGCCCCTTTGAAACAACAAACAATTCACAATGATGGCACAAAGCTCTGAACCCTAAAACCCAAAGCCTCCAACCTCAATTACTTAGGTCTGTCCCATGCCTGCAACACCGTAAGCCGTAGACCGTACACCCCAACTCTCACCCTAAATGTAATCACAAAGCCTAAACCCTAAACCCTGAACCCTAAAAAGCCCTATATAAATCCTTCCCCTGGGCCTCTTCCAGTCCTCGCCGCACCGAGCGGAAGAAGTTCACCAACACCTTTTGGGGGTCCGGGGTTCAGGGTTTAGGGTTTTAGTGGTTGCCGCTTCCTTGGGGTAGACCCCAAAGGGGACCATAATTTAGGGAACGACCCTTTTGGGGCACCGGAGTCCTCCTTATAGTTTGGTTGCTGGGCTACTTCTAAGCCGGGCCATGCCCGGGTTCTCCCAAACACCTGGTGTTGTGGACAAGTGTAATTAAGGCGTTGGCATGCAACGTACCATGTCCGTTTACAGTTTAGGGTTTCGGGTTTAGGGTCCACATCTGGCGTTAGGGCTTTCTTGGGCATCTTCTCCTGTTTGACGACGAGCACATATCACAAAGCAGGCTGTGTTGCAAGGTTCAGGGTTTAGGATTTAGGGCTTCAGTGTAGGGTTGAAGGATCGGGTTTAGGTACCCTTTTGTGGGTTGGTACCTTTACAAGCCATCCTTGAACCAACAAAAAAGGGCAAAGGGTTCCCACTGGGCTGCTAAGTAGCCCAGAGGGTCCATTTGTAGTACCCAAAGGATCCATGTACCTATATAGTATATACTTGGGCCCTAAAGCTACTATATAGGAACCCCTTTAAGGCCTAAGTATATACTATATAGGTACATGGATCCTTAGGGGTGCTATTATGGAATTAGGTACCCAAAAGCCATACTAAACGGGGTTTTGGGGTACCCAATTCCATAATGGTCCTACAAATGGACCCTCTGGGTATTTTTTTGAGGAGTCAGCTTGAGGAGCAGGCAGTGTCGATGTTCACGTTGATTCGCGCCGTGGCCGCGCAACCTCATGCGGAGGGCTTCGGGAGGGGGTTTCCAGGGGTTAGGGTTTAGGGTTTAGGGTTTTACGGTTTAGGGTTTAGGGTTTAGGGTAGAAATCCCCCCCCCCCCCACCCCCCAACCACCCTGTAGTTGTGTGTGCATTTTGAGGTGCTGTAGGGCCCCGAATTACTGAGGGTCGTTGGGGGTTCACCAGTCCGGTTCAGCGTCGCCGGCTTGTTCTTGTCCACGTCTTTCCAGGGTTTAGGGTTTAGGGTTTAGGGTTTAGGGTTTAGTTGCTGAGAACCGACGAACTCCAATCCCCCCTCCACCTTCAAACTACCAAAGCGCCGAAGGCCAAGAGTCCTACGCTGTGAAAAGGCCAGGGCAGTAACCTAAACCCTAAACCCGAAACCCTGAACCCTGAACCCTAAACCCTAAACCCTAAACCCTAAACCCTGAACCCTGAACCCTAAACCTCGGAAACTCTGAGGGAGTCATGTAAAATCACAACTACTGTTTACCATTTGTTGTTAAGCAAAAAAAACACACACAAAGACAACAATCCCTATTTGGCCCCCAAGCATTCTGAGGGTCTAGGGGCTTAGGGCTTGGGGTTCTACAGGTACTAGGCCCAAGAGTAACCTGGGAAGGGGCGCCCTTTTTGGTTTAAGGGCCGCATAAGGGAACCTGAACCCCAAAAAGGGAAGAGGGGCCTCCTCGAGGTCCCCTGTCGGATTGCAGCTGCAGTAGCAAAATGCATTGCTCGCACAGACCCGGCTCCTCGGACTTTCTTTGCCACTGTGGCACCATTTCTGCTTCACAATGGTTGCGGCTCCACCGCAACTGCCAGACTTCCTCGGCCTCGGGCACCATCATCTCCTGACCGCAAAGAAAGGGACTAGCTGCTGTTCCGCCGTCTCCGAATTACGCCGACATGTACAGACTGCCGAGCATTGCTGCGGAACGATAAACCGAAAAAGCTGTTACAGTTATTAATTAATCAGAACAAGACAGACGCAGGGTCCTCCTGCTCGGACTAACTTTGCTGAAGCGTAGGGAGTACTCGGGAGCATAAAGGGTTGCTGGCCTATCCTGAGCCCTAACCCTGAACCTCAGAAACCCTCAAACCCTCCCCGCCCTCAGGGTTCAGGCTTCCGGCCGCACACACTAAACCCTAAACCACGCATCCTAAACACTAAGCCCCAATCCCAAACCTTGGCACCCCTATTGTCTACTATTTGCCGTAGAACCCGCACAAATATTAAACATTCTTCCATATAAGGCCAGCACAGGAGAACTCCTTGTGCCTCCGTTCCTGAGGGCTTGGGGAGGGTTAGGGTTTGGGGCGGAGGCCTTAGGGCACTAGGCAGAAAGGGCCCACAAAGGCTTGAACCGACAGGACGTGAAAGGAACAACAAAACAAGCAGCTAACAACTCCCCAAACCCCAAGATTCTAACACCTCGTTTCCCTGAAGCCAGACACCCCAGCACCCTGCCCAACCCCCGAATCCCCTGTCACATTCTACCCTCAACCCTAAGCCCCCAAAAGCCCTCGAAGTACCTGTCGGCTGCCAAACCGGGACCCGACATCTACAGCAACCCAAGGGACTTCTAGGGTGCTGGCCCAAACCCAACTCAAACAAACAGGCCTGAGGCTTGCTCCCAACGATGCCGTACCAAGACCACCGTGCTCAAATTTCCACACACAGGGTTGGTAAACATCCAATCAGATTGGCAAGTGATGTTCCAGGGGTCGGCGGAGATCTGTGCTCCCGGCAGGGCTTAGGGTTTGGGGCGTTTTAGGGGGTGAAAGCTTTAGGCTTTGGGGTTGTTGAGGGTTGCTTAGGGCTGTTTCGGGTTTCGGGCTGCGAGGTATGCACTTCGAGTATCCCTGAAGCTTACTCAAGAGGGTTTAGGGTTCAGGAATGCTTAGGGTCTACCTAGAGCAAGCCCTGCACGTGATTGCCCTATATATATATATATGTGTGCAAGCGGGGGAGGGGTGCCCCAAAAACACACCAGGGGCCCAAAAAGGAACCCCGCCCTCCTTTCGGGAAAACACAACATGATGAAGGGCTTAGGCTTTAGGAGGTTGAGGCAATCCCCGAACCATCAGGTCCCCAATCATCACGTCGAGCTGGCGAGAAGCCCTGACAGACACGCCCGATAACCGGCCCTTACACCCCAAACCCGAAACCCTAAACCCCAAACCCTGAACCCTAAACCCTAAATCCCTAATCCCTAAACCTTAAAACCCTAAACCCTAAACCCTGAACCCTGAACCCTAAAACCCTAAACCCTAAACCCTGAACCCTGAACCCTAAACCCTAAACCCGAAACCCTAAACCCGAAACCCTAAACCCGAAACCCTAAACCCTAAACTTTGAACCCTCAAGCAGATGCGGAATCGCTCCCAGGCCCGGGCCACATCCACGGTGAGCTCGAACTGTTCCTAAGGGAGTTATAGGGTTTAGGGTTTAGGGTTTGGGGTTTAGGGTTTAGGGCTTATAGGGTTTAGGGTTTAGGGTTTAGGGGTTGAGGGTTGAGGGTTTAGGGGTTTGGGGCTGTGGGACTTTACACCCCCTAACCCCAAACCCTAAACCTTAAGGGTTTGGGGTTTGGGGTTTGGGGTTTTGGGACCCTAAACCCCAAAACCCAAAGCCTAAGCCCTGAAGGGTCAAGGATTTGGGATTTGGGTTTTCGAGTTTGGGGTTTCGGGCTGCCCAAACCTAAACGCGTGAATATCAACCGCCCGTCCCGAACTCCGGCAATCACTCGTTCTGTAGTTTGTAAGGGCCCTCAAGGTATGGGCCAGTACAAACTATAGAATGAGTGATTGGGCAGTTTGTAAGGGCCCTCAAGGTATGGGCCCTTCCCTTGGGAGCCCTTATAGGGGCAGTTTTCCAAACTATCCTCCTTCAATGAGTACCCTGAAGACAAGTCGCCTATGAGAATAGGAACCTAAAAGAAGACAACCGCGGATGCACTGAGGTCTTCGTCAAAGCTTCGGACACCTCTTCCAATGACCCTTCTACCATCTTCAGAGTAAATCCCCCTAAGGATCCATGTACCTATATAGTATATACTTAGGCCTTAAAGGGGTTCCTATATAGTAGCTTTAGGGCCCAAGTATATGCTATATAGGTACATGGATCCTTTGGGTCCATATTCCTTGAGCGACAGTGCTTGGCCTAGCTCGTTCAGCAGCGCGACGTGGGAATCCTCCAGGTCCGTCGTCAAGCAGTCGACATCGTGCTTCCGAACTCCGCGCAATCCCAGGGATCCATCTCCGGTTCGGGCTGCATACCCTAAACCCTAAACCCTAAACCCTAAACCCTAAACCCTAAACCCTAAACCCCCTCTCCGACGAAGGCATATATCCATGCGCCCAACATACGGAGTCGAGGGACCCAAAGCTGCTCGGAACTGCAACCACCTCGTCGTCCTCGATCTCGAGGGGTGGTAAAGGCCTTCCACCGTTAGGAGGAGTTTGGGGTTCAGGGCTAAGTAAACCATTGTGATACCCAATACATATCCGTCCACCTGTGGTGGGGGGGGGGGGGGGGGTGATTTCGGCTTTAGGTTTGGGGCTTGGGGTTTTCAAGGCTTTGTGCGTTTGGCGTAGGATTTAAATGGTTTTGAAAGGTTTTAGGGCTTGTTTAGGGAGGGTTTTAGGGTTTTTGGCTTTAGGGTTTCGGGTTTAGGGCATCGGGTTTAGGCCTTGCGTAAGAGTTTGGGGTTTAGGTGGGGAGGGGGGGGGGGGACTGCTGACACGGCGGCGCGGACTCGCCAACATGCGTCGAAGGACGTATGTGCACAAACTTACCAGTAACGTAAGTACAAGCCAAAGTTCATATATCTCTGAATCCTAAATCCTCAGCTGTGCAGTTCACAACCCCTAAACTCTAAACCCCTAAACTATAAACCCTAAACTAAACCCTCCTACATGCCCTAAGACTTTAAGACCCTACACGTCTAAACCCTGCATATCCCAAAACATCCTAAACCCTCTCTATAAGACCGGGGACCGCCTACGGGAAGGGCTCGTGTCGACCGCTAGTTGCTTAATGCTTGGATTCTTGCGTTTAGTTAGGGTTTGGGGTTTGGGGTTTGGGGTTTGGGGTTTGGGGTTTGGGGTTTGGGGTTTGGGGTTTGGGGTTTGGGGTTTTAGGGTTTGGGGTTTAGGGTTTAGGGTTTAGGGTTTTAGGGTTTTAGGGTTTAGGGTTAGGGCACTTAAACAAAATATTAGAAAGGCCGGGCATCCACCACGGGCTCGAGCTGCGCTGCCTTGGCGTTGTGGCCTGAGCGCTCGGGGAAGTCTGAGTCTGGGAACCCGAAACCCGAAACCCTAAACCCTAAACCCTAAACCCTAAACCCTAAACCCTAAACCCTAAACCCTAATCCCTGGGGATTTTGCGTTTAGGGGTTTAGGGTTTTTTGTGTGTAGGATTCTTGGCTGCACTCAGGAGGGTAGAACAAAAAACAAACTGTTAGCTACCTTATTAAGAAACCCAATAAACCCAAAAAGGCTAAGGATCTAAAGAGCACCACAGAGGATTTAGGGGTTTAGGGGTGCATGGTTTAGTGTTTAGGGGATATTCAAGGGTTGAGGGGTTTAGGGGGGGTTTAGGGGTTAAGGGTTGAGTGTTTAGGGGTTCAGGGTTCAGGGGTCAAGGGTTCAGGGGTTTAGGGTTTAGACTATTTGGGTTGGGGTTAGACGAGCGTTTATGGGTTTAGGTTTGGGGGAAGGAGGTCAGGGCCCGGGTTCATTAGGGAGGTCGGGAGATAGGGCTAATTAGGACTAAGTAGGGGTGTTGGGTTTAGGGTTAGGGGATGAGGGTATGGGGGGAGGAGTTCAGCGTTGGGGTTTTGGGGCTTCAGGTTAGTTTCGGATTTGGGGTTTACAGAAGAAATTTGGTGGTATGGTTTGGGGCTTAGGGTGTAGGTTGGAGGGGGCTTGGCTATAGGAACAAAATGGAGGCCTCACTTGACAGATGGGAAACGAAGTGTTTCCTAAGCCCTACATCAGTTGTAAACCTTACATCCCAAGACCTGGGCCCTAAACCCTAAACCCTAAACCCTAAACCCTCAACCCTCAACCCTAAACCCTAAACCCTAAACCCTAAACCCTAAACAACAACCCAAGCTTGCACTCTCGGGTTCCTGACAGACCACGTCGCACAGGAGCATGAAGGAAAGCGGCTCACCCTCTTGGGGCATGAGCGCACCTGCCGGGTGTAGCGTTTAGGGTTTAGGGTTTAGGGTTTAGGGTTTAGGGTTTAGGGTTAGGGTTTAGGGCTGACGTTCTGAAACCCTAAACCCTCAACCCTAAATCCTAAACCCTACAACCCCAAACCCTAAACCTGAACAGTGGCTGCCATAGGTTTTCAGAAGTTTTTGGGCTTTGTGATCTTCGGGCGGCTGATTGAACCCGAGAAAGAAGTGGGAGGCTCATAAGAACAAATAAACAAACCATAAATAAGTAAATTAATAAATACAAATGTAATTAAATGAAAATTAATTAAGAACCACAATGAAAATGACTACCGAAAAAAATCGAACCTCGGGCGTGTAGCTCCGCCACGCGGAGCGCGAGCCAATGCTGCGGGGCGAGGATGCCACCTCCCAGAGGTTTAGGGTTTAGGGCTTAGGGTTTAGGATTTAGGAAGTTTAGGGTTTAGGAAGCTTAGGGTTTAGGATTCTTTGGGTCGGGGCAGTCTAGGAAGTCTGGGAAGTTTAGGGTTCGAGTCGGGAGGGTTTGGGGCTTCGGGTTTTTGGAGGTTTTGCAGGGGGTTTGGGGGTGTGCTCTTAACCCTAGCCATAGAACCCTGAACCCTGAACCCAAAACCCTAAATCCGAACTAAGCCCTCAACCCATTTAGGCATTTCCCAAACTGGAGGTTCCCCGAATTTCTCCTCAAAAAACTACAATCGTTATCCTAAACCCCAAACCCCAAACCCTGAATCCTAAACCCCAAACCCTAGACCCTAAACCCTCAACCCATTTTGCCCATGGCCTGACAGGCGTAGGTCAAGGAAGCCAAGGGCGTCGAATTGCAGCCGCCAGCCACAAGGCTTCTGAGAAGAGGCTTCGGGTTTAGGTTTAGGGGTTTGGGGTTTGGGGTTTAGGGTTTAGGGTTTAGGGTTCAGGACTCAGGGTTTACGGTTTGGGGCTTTAGGGTTTAGGGTTTCAGGGTTTAGGGGTTTAGGGTTTCGGGTTTAGGGGTTTAGGGCCTCTAGGGCCAGAGTAGGCTCTTCCATTCGGCTTGTGAGCAGAGGCTACGGGTCTAGGGTTTAGGGTCGTTGGGGTTTCGGTTCAGGGCTGAGGGGGTTAGTGTTTAGGGTTTAGGGTTCTGGGTTTGGGGGTTCATGGGGTTTGTATGGGGTTGACCGGGCCTTGGGGTTGTTAGGGTTTAGGGCCTCGGGTTTCAGGGGTTTCGGGGCTTAGGTGGGTTTAGGGCGTAGGGGCGTAGCAGGTTCGACAACCTTCCGGAGCGGGGGGGGAGTAGGGTTAGGGTTTATAGGGTTTTAGGTTTAGGGTTAAAAGTTTAGGGGTTAGGTTCAGGGTTTAGGGTTTAGGGTTTAGGTTTAAGGTTTAGGGTTTAGGGTTTAGGGGTAGGTTGCCCTGAGGGGGGTTCGGGCTATGGGCCTGGGCGACCAGGAGCAGCCTACGAATAAAACGGGTGCTTTTTGGTTTTTGGTTTGAGGGGACTCTTCATGCGGGAAATAAAGGAATAAGGGTCCACTCTGGGTCCTATCATCTTTCTAGGTCGCCTGCCGAACAATAACCAGAAACCCCGAACCCTACACCCCCACGATTCAAACACCAGGGTTCAAGAACTGCCAAGGCGCCCCAAACCCTAAATCCCGAACCCCAAGCCCTTTTTGAAGCCCCTAAACCCTGCAAACCCTGAATCTTTTTTGGGCCCTAAAGACTTACACCCCAAAACCCCAAAACCCTAAACCCTGAAACCCTAAAGCCCCCAAAAGCCATACAAACCCCTGAATCCCCAAACCACCTAAAGCCCCTAAACCCGAAACTCCTAAACCCCAACCCCTAAACCCCAAAACCCTCGACCCCCAAACCCTCAACCCCTCAACCCCACAACCCCTGAACCCCAAAACCCTAAACCCTACACCCTAAACCCTAAACCCCAAACCCTAAACCCCATGGCCTGGGTCAGGGCTTGGGATGTGGGAATGCTCTTCGTCGACTCGGTCTGGTCCGCGCGAAGGGGTGGGGCAGACACTCAGAAAGGGTTCTGAAGGGTTTCTGTTAGGGTTTAGGGTTTGGGGTTTAGGGTTTGGGGTTTAGGGTTTAGGGTTTGGGGTTTAGGCTAGCGTTTAAGGTTGTGGGTGCCGGGGAAAGACCTTCATAATAACACCCTAAACCCTAAACCCTAAACTGTGGGTTGCAGTTTCGCTGTAGAAGACCTTCAGAATAAAACCCTACACCCTAAACCCTAGACCCCAGACCGTAAACAATCTCAAGGTGCAAGAGAACGAGCCCATGAGAAAACAGAACGTCATGCGGAGCTTCTGTGGACAAGAGGAAAGTAGCTACATGTCCCTACTGTCTAGAGGTTCTACCTTGGACCCCCTAAACCCTAAACAACAGCCCTAAGCCCTGAGCCCTAAACCCTAATTGGCCTTTGCCTTTCTCCAGGGGGCCCCTTGGGCGCAGTTGCAGTAGGCTGGAGACGTCATTGCGAATCGCCGTGAGTTCGTGCAGGGCGTCGTCAAGGGACCAGGATTGGGCCACGAGGTCGGCAATAGCAGCCCAAATCTTGCGGTCAGCTGCTATGAGCTGCCCACCCCGCTTTCTTCTTTCATGCATCAGCAGAGTCCAGCTGTAGTTGAGAGCAATGCAAGAAACCAAAGCGCAAAGAAATAAGCGTAGATCATCCTCTTGCGTCCACACAACCCTAAACCCTAAGCCCTAAGCCCTAAACCCTAAACCCTTGGGTTTGGGGACCCTTCTCGAAGATCCTCCAAGGAGAAAAAACGGGGCAGAGTAGGAGTATACTGAGGGAAACCTTCAGGGGTACAACCTTCGGGGTACGAGCCTTTATCCCTTGATACTGTCCACAAATCATACACCCACGCAGCCCCTACATCCCCTAAAACCCCGCGAAATCCTCCAACATGTCAAACCCCTGAGTCCCCCACCTTCTAAGTTAGGGTTTAGGGTTTAGGGTTTAGGGTTTAGGGTTTAGGGTTTAGGGTTTAGGGTTTAGGGTTTAGGGTTTAGGGTTTGGGGTTTAGGGTTTGGGGTTTGGGGTTTGGGGTTTTTAAGGTCATATACCCTACTGGGAATTCTTGTAGTACAGGGCACGACACAAGAGGTTCATGGTGCGGGTCTTGTCAAAGAAGCCCTCCAAACGGCTGCGTGCTCTACATCCCTCTAGATACATCTGAACCCTAAACCATAAAAACCCTAAACCCTAAACCCTAAACCCTAAACCCTAAACCCTAAACCCTAAACCCTAAACGTAAAGCCCTCAAGACGCAACACGAAGCCCCAAACTCAACACTCCTGCCTTCTGCAGTGCTGATGCCTCCTCGGTAGCCAGGTCGCCACATTATTGCAATACGGTTGCCCTTTTGTTTGGGTTACTGATGATGTTTTTTAGAGGAACCCGCCGAAACAGGCAAAAGGACACCACCCTAAGCCCAAAAACCCAAAACTCATAAACTGAACTCGAAACCCAAAAATCTTGAGTCCGAGAACCCGTACCCAAGAGGGGCGAAAGAGCACCACCCTCAAGCCCTCAAAGGGTACCGCCCTAAACCCGAAAACCCCTTTAACCAAAAAGGGCAAAAGATTAGGGGCACCACCCTAAACCCCAAACCCCAAACCCCAAACCCCAAACCCCAAACCCAAAACCCCAAACCCCAAACCCCTAACCCCAAACCCCAAACCCTAAACCCTAAACACTAAACCCTAAACCCTAAACCCTAAACCCTAAACACTAAACCCTAAACCCTAAACCCTAACTCTAATGTGATTGGGCAACCAAGACACAGAGGCCAGTGTTGAGTTGCTTGAGCGCAAGGTGCGGCCTTCAAGTCATGCGGCTTAGGGTTTAGGGTTTAGGGTTTAGGCTTAGGGTTTAGGGTTTAGGGTTTAGAGTTTAACTAGGGTTTAGGGTTTAGGGTTTAAGGATTCGGGATTAGGGATTTAGGGCTTTAGGTGCCCTTTGATGAGCCCCTTGCAGGAAAAGAAAGAGAGCTACAAGGTACCCAATTCCTGCATTCCCTACTTAGAACCCCTAAACCCTAAACCCTAAACCCGAAACCCTAAACCCCAAACCCTGAAACCGAAGAGTAAGCTAGGAATAAAAAAGGGTGCCGGTTTGGCTTAAATAAAGGGGAACCAAACACCCCTAAAAAGGAGATTAAGGGCCTACTCTGGGTTCCAGTGGCCCTAAGCCCTCAAACCCTCTAAACCCTAAACCCTAAACCCTAAAACCCTAAACCCCTCTAAACCTAAACCCTGAACCGGTTTGGACTACCAACATGCGCTAGGGCCTTCGACCTGTGTTCTGTTAGCCTACCAGTTTGCAAGGCTTCAAGCTTATAAACCCGAATTATATACACCCTTTATAAGGGTTAGGGTTTAGGGTTTAGGGTTTAGGGTTTAGGGTTTAGGGTTTGGGTTTTGGTTTTTGGGTTTAGGGTTTAGGGGCTTAGGGTTTAGGGGTTATAGGCTTTAGGGCCTCTAAACCTTGTAGCCCTAGACTAGAAGCCCCGTAAGCTGGCAGTGCACCCTAAACCCTAAACCCCCCTAAACCCCCCTAAACCCCCCTAAACCCCCCTAAACCCCCCTAAACCCCCCTAATCCCCGCTAAACCCCCCTAAACCCCTAAACCCCCTAAACCCCCTAAACCCCCCTAAACCCCCCTAAACCCCCCTAAATCCCCCTAAATCCCCCTAAACCCTAAACCCTAAAGTGAGGCACAGGTTTTTCGGGCTTGCAATGGGGTTTTGGGGTTTCGGGTCTCGGCCTCAGGGGCTTCGGGCTTACAGGGTTTAGGGTTTAGGGTTTAGGGTTTAGGGTTTAGGGTTTAGGGTTTAGGGTTCCCTATAATTCTCACCCCTCCCCCAGTCACCCCCAAACATGGCCTGAGAACAGGGACGGCCACTTCTTTACCTGCCCCTCGTCCTGACGCTCGGCCGATGGGCAAAAAAGTGCGCTGAGGTGGTGGAGGTTACGCTAAGGATCCATGTACCTATATAGTATATACTTAGGCCTTAAAGGGGTTCCTATATAGTAGCTTTAGGGCCCAAGTATATACTATAGAGGTACATGGATCCTTTGGGTTACAGGTTGGGATGTTCTCCCTTATTATTATGCTAGCAGTCCTTAATAGTTAGGGATTCTAGTACCCCCGAGTATAATCCCTACTATGGCCTGTTAGTATATGGGGGACACATCCCAAGTTGCAGGGGGTGTCTACAGTAACTGGACCCGTTTTGATGCCCAGTTTGGTGGAAAACGGCCCGGGGGCTGAACCTGTCGTTTGCTAATTCCTCAGGCGCAAGTCACATTCGAGGGATGTTATGGGTAACCCACATACTAGACCTGATTGTTGGCAAACAGCAGGTCTTCAATCTAAATTTACGTAGACCCACATACAACCACCATGGTGCGTTTTGGTGCTGCTTACTTGATCGCCCCTAAGGCAACATGTCAATGTGCATGTCATTAGAACCCTGAAATCGTGACAACCATGGCTGTGCCGACAACAACTCTCGAGAGACATCGCGGAGCATCGCCGCAGACGACAGCGCCAGCCGCCGTGTTTTCGAGACCCGTGATGGAACCACAGCCATGCCGAGCTGCTACACGTATGAGAACTGATGTTGGGCTCTCTTGCTGTTACCACCGGTCCGCGGATCACCCCATGTCAGCACCTGTCCATCTGCCAAGATCGCCGCAAAAGCACGCTCAGTGGAACTGATTTGCTGAACCATCTTGAGCCGATCCTCCACTGCTGCAAACTGACCACTTGAATCTGTATGGCCCCATGTCAAGACAATTCCATCTGGCAAGAACGCTGCGAAATCGCGCTCTGCGGCGTGTATCTCCTGTACGTTTATCAGCCGATCTTGAACCCTGGTGCTGTCGCCACCAGCATCCGTGTGCCCCCAGGTCACCACTGTTCCATCTGCCAAAACTGCAGCAAAAGCAGCTTGTGTGGCATATATCCTAGGACGGGCCTTAAAACCCTCTGGTTCCTGAATATGCTTCTCTTAAACCCACGAAGGTAAAAATATAAAATATCCCCACGGGCCTACCTAGTATCTGCCGAACGTTCCTGAGCCGAGCCAGGACCGCAGTGCTATCACCACCTTAGTAGCCCAGCAACCATATGATAATAAGGGCACCCCCTTGTTTGGTTGCTTACTTTATACGGGAACCTAGAACCCGAAAAAAGGGCAAAAGGGTTTCCCTAAACCCTAAACCCTAAACCCTAAACCAAAAAAACAAAAGGGAAAAGGGTACCACTGGGCTACCAAGCCACCAGCGGCTGAATCCCCCCATGTCACGACGGTTTCATCTGCCAAGAGCGCAGCAAAAGCGGCCCTTGTGGCCGAAATCTTCTGAACGTTCCTGGGATGGCCTTTAAAGCCCTCTGAAAAGTGGGTTTAGGGTTTAGGGTTTAGGGTTTAGGGTTTAGGGTTTAGGGTTTAGGGTTTAGGGTTTAGGGTTTAGGGTAAGATGATCCTCTTAAACCCAATAAGGGAAAATCCAAGATGTCCCTAAAGGGCCTAGGTTCCTGAGCCGATGCTGGACCTCAGAACTGTCACCACCTCTCATCGGATTGCCCCATGTCAGGACCATTCCACCTGCCAAGATCGCAGCGAAGGCACTACCTGTAGCATGGATCTTTTGAACGTTCCTAAGCTGAAATTGGACATCAGAACTGTCACCACCCCAGAGGGGATTACCCCATGTCAAGGCGGTTCCATCTGCCAACACGGCTGCAAAAGCAGTCTCGGTGGCATGTATTTCCAGAACGTTCTTCAGCTGATCTTGGATTTCAGAGCTGTCACCACCGCTGCCTTCGTCACCCCATGTCACCACAGATCCATCTGCCAAAATTGCTGCAAAAGCACTGTCTGTGGCATGTACCTGCTGAACATTCCTAAGCCGATCTTGGGCCCCAGCACTGTCACCACCCGCATCCCGTCTGCCCCACGCCACAACCGTGCCATCTGCCAAAATTGCAGCAAAAGCCCTCCGTGTGGCATGTATCTTCTGAATGTTCCGAAGCTGTTCTTGGACGTCAGAACTGTCACCACCTGAGAATTGACTACCCCATGTCACGGCAGTTCCATCTGCCAGAACCGCTGCAAAAGCAGCTTGTGCGGCATATATCTGTTGCACGTTTCTGAGCCGATCTTGGACAAGGGAGCTATCACCACCGGAAGCCGGATCGCCCCATGTGACGACCCTGTGACCACCCACACACCACAAAGCAAAGGCTCTGCCCGTGGCGGCTATGCTTGCCCTCTGTGCAACTGCAGTAATGCTGTCACCATTTGGCAGTGCAAGTGGAAGAGGTTCTGTTGGATCCAAAAGGCGTCCGTCTGGGGCGGCAAAACTCAAGAAAGATCTCCCAAAGGACCGTTGCGCTGCGATTTTCAAATCACCAACGGTGCTGCCCAGCGGTACTGGCACAACTTCACATTGTCCACTGGGCAAAGACACCAGGAGGTTCCTGTACTGAACTTCTTGGTAGCCCAGCAACCATGCTACAATGAGGGCACCCTTCTTTGGGTTGGTTACTTTACAAGGGAAAACCTTGAACCCCAAAAAGGGAAAAGGGGCACCACTGGGCCAGAACCCCAGCAAAAATCACAATTTTGGCTGTTTCTTGGGAACTGTCATGATGCCAAAAAACCCTAAACCCTGAACCCTGAACCCTAAACCCTAAACCCTAAACCCCTAAACCCCTACACCCCTAACGAAAAACTGCTCCCAAGTACCCCCGAAGCTTCAGGGTGTCGACAGCAACATCTTCACTGCTTCTCCGTGCCTCATCTTCGTCACTGCAAGCTTTGGCAAAGCTCCGAGGGCTGAAGCATGAACGTAAGTTGCTGATTTGCATTTAGTGTTTAGGGTTTAAGGTTTAGGGTTTAGGGTTTAGGGTTTAGGTTTAGGGTTTAGGGTTGAGGGTTTAGGGTTTAGGGTATAAGGTATAGAATGTAGGGTTTAGGGTATAAGGTATAGAATTTAGGGTTTAGGGCATAAGGTATTTTAGGGTGTAGGGCTCAGGGTCCGTGCGCTATCCAAACTGCAAACAGGTCTTGTTTGTGTGGCCGTAAACTACAAGGACCTAAACCCTAAACCCTAAACCCCAAAGGTTGTGTTGTCTAGATTCACCCAGCTGTAGAGATGAGTTTGCCTAGGTTTCCTGGGGCATGGCCCTGGTACCGCGGTACGAATTTTAGGGTTTAGTGATAAGGGTTTTAGGGTTTTAGGTGTTTAGGGGTTTAGGGTTTTAGGGTTTAGGGTTTTAGGGTTTTGGGTTTTGGGGGTTTAGATTTAAGGGTTTAGGGGTCAGGGCTCAGGGCTTCGAGTTTAGAGTTTATGGGTTTAGGGTTTAGTGCCAAGTTTGCAGCCTACCCACAGGTGTGCTTAAGGTTCAGGTTTGAAGGTTCAGGGCTAAGGGTTAAGGGTTAAGGGTTTCGGGTTTAGGGCAACAACAAATCTGCGAGGTTTGCACTTATGCACTACTACTTGCTTCAGAGCCCCCCCCAAAACAAAAAATATAATAATAACAATAAGAAGAAGAATAATAATCATAATAGTAATATGTTCCTTATCTTACAAGCTAGGGCAATGTAGGGCTTATAATCTACCTGCTTAAGAGACCCCTCCCACAAAAATGAAATAAAAAACACATAATCCAGAATGTTTTCCTCATGAGGGCAACATAGGGCTTGTTATCTTTCATTTTTTTTTGGGGGGGGTCTCAAGCAAATGGTAGTGCATTTGCTAACGCAACAGCCAACTTTGGCAAGCATGCCTTGGGTACTGACATTCAATTCTTCACTCTGAGCGAAGGAAGCTTACATGCGAAGAGGATCTGTCTTTACATTAACTTTCCATACACCCCAAGCCCAAAACCCAAAACCCTAGACACAAAACCCTCAACGGCAAGATGTGGCAAACGCAGCTTTTCGCCCTGCGCCGGAAAGAAAATCGGGCCGGTGCCCAGCAGGCACAGCGAGTTTAGTGTTTAGAGTTAACCCTAAACCCTAAACCCTAAACCCTAAACCCTAGACCCTAAACCCTAAACCCTAAACCCTAAACCCTAAGCCCTACAAAAACCAAGTTTAGAGCTTAGGACTCTCACATGTTTGCATGGCTTACGGAAGCTGGCCCCCAAACCCCTAAACACTAGGTTCAGGGTTTAGGGTTTAGGGTTTAGGGTTTAGGGTTTAGGGTTTAGGGTTTAGGGCTTAGGGTTTAGGGTTTAGGGTTTAGGGTTTAGGACTCAGGGTTGCCCTACTCTGGGCAAGTGCCGTCTTCCCCGGCGTCGCAAGCCCGGTCGGTGCGCTCGTAGATGCGTATGAACCTTGGTAGCTCAGGAACCGTATTTGGGGTGTAAGAGGGTTTGGGGTTTGGGGTTTAGGGTTTGGGGTTTAGGGTTTAGGGTTTGGGGTTTAGGGTTTAGGGTTTAGGGTTTGGGGTTTAGGGTTTAGGGATACTGCCATCAGGGTACCCTTCTTTTGTTGTTGGCCTTGGTATAAGGAGACCAAACAAGCCACAGGATGCCACTGGACCCTAAACCCTAAACCCTAAACCCGAATAAACCCTGATCAACCCTGATAAACCCGTACAAACCCTGATAAACCCTGAGAAACCCTATAAACCCGAACAAACCCTGATAAACCCTGATAAAACCCTTATAAACCCTGATAAACCCTGATAAACCCTATAAACCCTATAAACCCTGATAAACCCTGATAAACCCTGATAAAACCCTTATAAACCCTGATAAAACCCTTATAAGCCTTTATAAGCCCTTATAAACCCTTCTAAACCCTTAAAAACCCTGAAACTTCAACCTAACCCCCCCCCCCCCCAAAAAAAAAAAAAAAAAAACACACACACACACACAAGGCCAGCAAGGTATAAACCCTTGTAAACCCTAAACCCTGAACCTTCAACCTAAACCCCCCCCCCCCCCCCAAAAAAAAAAAAACAAGGCCAGCAAGGAACTCTTCCAGGTCGCACTCGAAGTCTTTGTTGTCGAGCTCCTTGCGATGCTTGTTCAAGGCTTTCAGGGTTTAGGGTTTAGGGTTTCGGGTTTCGGGTTTAGGGTTTGGGATTTAGGCTTTAGGGTTTACGGTTTAGGGTTCGTCCTCTAAGTAGGTTATAAGTAGACGTATAACTGTGGTTAGAAGTATCCATGACCTTCTAAGTGGTCAGGCAACTTAGGCCACTTAGGGTGTGGGGAATGCAGGGTTTCGGGAATCTCGGGTTAACAGGCATTAAGGGAATGTAGGGCATTTAGCGTTTGGGGAATTTAAGGTCTAGGGAATTTGGGGTTGGCAGGCCTCAGGGTTTAGGGAATTGAGGGAATTTAGGGGTTCAGGGTTTAATTGGGGCCTTCAGGGTTTAGGGAATTGAGGTTTAGCCTACCCTACGTCTTCAGGCTTCCACCCAAAGATAAGCCCTAATACAGTTTGGGGTTTAGGGTTTAACACCCTATTGTAATCCCTCGCCCCTTGCAAGCCGCCGAGTGGCTGGCGCCAGGTCGTCTGGAATCTTTCGGCCGCTGACCTCGAGCAAGACCTTCAGTTCCTGGCAAAGGGCTTAGGGTTTAGGGCTTAGGGTTCAGGGTTTAGGGTCTTAGGATTTGTAGTCTAGTGTTTAGGGTTCAGGAGTTAGGGTGGGTGGAGGTTCGGGTACAACTTTTGGCTGAAACAGGGTTTAAGGTTACGTTTTGATCTCTGCATTTTGCTCTTGGGCAGGGCGGGGGGTGGGCATTTGGGGGATTGGGGGGATCTGGGGTTGTTTATTGTGGCTTAGGGTTTTGGGTCATTTTGAGGAGTTGGGGTTCGGGCTTTCCTTAGGGTTTAGGGTTTGGGGCTTAGGGTTTCGGGTTTAGGTTTAGGGTTTAGGCTTTAGGTTTAGGGTTTACACCCAAGCCAATGGAAGGTGTGCGTCGCATCAACCACGCTCAGGTTGAAACCATGGGCCCTTAGTATGGTCCCTGACCCTTGTTCATAGGGATCTGAAGAAAGCATGGGCCCTTATGACTTATAGTGTATGTTAAGGGCTAAACCCTAAACCCCAAACCCTAAACCCTAAACCCTAAACCCTAAACCCTCGTTAAGGCCCCATACCTGGAACCTTAGAGATGTGAAACGGCCTTTTGTTCCGGAGCCCTGCAACTGACTTACTGTTGGCTAGCACGGAATGCGGGGAAGTAGGGCCCTATACCCTTTGAGGGATTGTATAGGGCCACCCTAAACCCTAAACCCTAAACCCTAAACCCTAAACCCCAAACCCTAAACCCTAAACCCTAAACTCATTCCCCCATTCCCTACGAACAGTAAGTCCTTACAAAACGCTCGCTCAGTCTGAGGCTTCTTGGGGGTCCACAGGTCCAAGTCTTGGGGTTCGGGGTTCAGGGTTCAGGGTTTAGGGCTACATGACTGAAACACGAGCCCGGAACCCTACAACGCCCCACCGAAGCGGCACCCGGCCGATCAGCTTTCCATCGTTGTCGGAGTCAAAAGCCTTCGGCTGTCGACAGGGGATGACGGACCCTTCGAATTCATTTCAGCAATTGCAGGGTTCTTAAGAAAGGGGTTTAGGGTTTATGGTTTAGGGTGATTAAGGGAGGGGGGTTCAAGGTGGGTACGTAACCCAAGGTTCCCGAATACTCCCTAAGTTTCCCTAGGTACCTACCCCCATGAACCCCCGCGCCCTTAAGAACCCCAGCAGGCAACCGCAGCCCCGGTTGGAAAACATATGGGTAGTTTCCTAGGCCATGAGCCCTTTAAATCGGGAGCCCAAAAAAGGGACCATAATATTAGAGAACCACCATGCTGTAAACAAAACATGAAACAAACACACAAAATGCGCCGTTACAAACAGATCACACACGCAGATGTATGCATGCTACATACATACCATAAAACTTGCAAACGTCTATGTATAAACGCATGGATCCACCGACTCGGTCATATGACTGCAGCTGCAGATTGATCCTTGTTTTAGGAGCTGGGGTAAGCAGGCAGGCAGTCCGAGACTTGGTGGCCCAGTAACCCATGTGATCCAAAAGGCACGTTTTTATTTATTTTTTTGGGGGGTGACTTTATTATTATAAGGGAACATAAGGGAACCTAAACCCTAAACCCTACCACCCCCCCCCCCCCCCAAAAAAAAAAAAAAAAAAAAAAAAAGGGGGGTACCACTGGGCCCCAAGGTAAAGCAACGGCCGCAAAAAAGGGGCTTCAGAGTCCGGGAGTTTAGGGTTTAGGGTTCAGAGTTTAGGGTTTAGGGTCTAGGGTTGAGGGTTCAGAGTTTAGGGTTTAGGGTCAGGATTGAGGGTTTAGGGTTTAGGGTTTAGGGATGAGGGTTAGGGTTTTGGCTTTGTTTGCGGATGATGAGCTCGCTTTGTTTTACAAAGTAACTGACATCACATAGGTCGGTTTAGGGTTTCCCGCTAGGCTGCCTTTAAACTACCCCTAAACCCAAAACCCAAAACCCTAAACCCTAAACCCTTATCCCTAAACCCTAAACCCTAAACCCAAAAACCCTGCTCCCTCAACACTAAAGCCCTAAACACTTCGCGGCACAGCCTCAAAGCCATAGGCCAGAGCTGCCTCTGCGTGCAGGGTGCACGGCTTTTCGGGTTTAGGCGCGTACGGCTTAAGGCATCTCGGGTTTAGGGTTTAGGGTTTCGGGGGTCGGGTTTCGGGTTTAGGGTTTCAGGTAAAGTTTATAAGGGTGTGGTCGAGATGGGGGAGGAGGGAAGAAGGTTTGGGCCAGTCTGCCTGGGCGGAAAAATGACTTCACGCTACCGGCCATAGTTAAGCATGGAACCCTTAACAATATTTCTCAAACCCCATCAAACCAATGGGAAGG